TATTCAACTTGTAACACGTATAAGCTGGAATAGTTCCGATTCTGAACAATCAGTAATTTTAAATTCAAAGGCACACAAAGCTGCGACGTATACCGATTTCATTCAACACAGTATCTCTTCAATACCCCAATGGCCTACGGCACTTCATACATTTATTAATAGTGGCTTTTACTCACAATATTTATTACCAAAGACGTTTGTGAAGAACGTTTCAAAATATTTTCGCAAGATAATTAGTGGTGAAGGAGTTATAATATTCTGTGGTAACAGCGCTAACACTGCATTAAAAAGACATTCATCATGTATTTAACTATGGAAAAACAGTGTTTGTGAGGAAATTTACTTAAACCAAGAGGTTTATACTTATAGTATGTTTATGTAGTCAACAAGTTACAAATCTTTAAAGATTTTACGTAAGGACAAATTGATTACAATCACATTTTAATATGGTCGCATGTTTTTCTACCATGAATAGTACCTTAAATGTTATTTTAATAAATTATTTCAACAACAAAAATTTTAATCAACCCTCGACTTTTAGTTCTCATATACTACGGAAACTTTTTTATTTTATGTACAAAAGTACAAGAGTACAAGAGAACAAGAGTACCCATACCCGAGTAATATTGAACGACTTCGGAGTGTCATTAACAACTACGCGATCGCTCATGTCTTATGTCTTAAGGTTCTGGATTAAATTCTTGACAAAATTATATTTGTTCCGGTGCAGAAGATTTATCTCCTGGATACATTCGAACAATATTGTGTAAGAAACGATCCATGCTAAAGGGTGTCTGATTGGCGTTCTTGTCATTGGTTTCTGCAATTCAAAAGTAAAAGTATGAAAGAATTGTAGGTCATACGCGAAGCGACCAAAGTAAAATCGTCAAAGAAAGCAAGATTGTCCAATACAAATAACTCGTGAGTGAAACTTGGCAATGCTTGGGCGCAGCAGCCTTGACCGGAACCGGCGTGTGAGCAACGAATGATTCGATACGGCATTTCTGTATGGGATGATTTTTTTTAATTTTAAAGGGCGAATCGTAAATTTTTATGGCTACAGCCTTGGCTTGGTTTGTTACTCAGTGTGTAAACCTCAGAGTAACGAAGTTTTACTCCCAGCTAAAGTATATTTTCGAGTTTATAGAAAACTCCATAACAAATTCTAAAGAAAAAGGAACAGAAAACAGATTAAAATGGCATTTAGCTATAAAATATTAGTTAATAGTTAATATTTTCGTCCATTATGCTTGTATTGTTTCAAAATCTGTATCCTTTATAAGGCAGACTATTTAATACCCATCTGCCGTATGTGCTTGAGAAAAATATTGTTTTGCGAAAGATTGAACTCCTAAACCTCAGTGGGTAAACCACTTAGTGGTGAAATGTGTAACGATCAAATTTTTAATATATCTAGATAATATATCGAATCAAATACAATAATTATAACTGAATGGTTACTTTCTCTACTCGTCTACTAATTGCATACCGTAATGAACGCTTACATAAATTATGAAGATCGCTAATAAATTTTCATAATCCAGTCATTTGAGGCTCATAAATTCTGTTTTTAATCGTAGTTTTGATGAGGATGAGTCTTTCACTTGATCGATACATCTGGTTGGAGCGTGATCCTTTGCGTTCTATGTTACCAACCACGATCAGCTTCTACAAGTTTTCATCGCCTCTGCGCATTATATGGCCGAAATAAGATACAATTCGATATCGGAATATGGTAGATAGGCGAGTTCGTGTGCGGAGTTGGGTCAGGATAGACGTATTGGTGCGCTTCGCAGTCCACGGTATTCATAGCATTCGCCTCCAGCACTCTGCCAAAGGGTACAACTTTATCCGATATCAATTAGAAAAAATATCCGCTAATTCGCTACTGTCGCTCATATTGTATATTATATTTATAACTATTTGTATATTTTAATCATATGATCGTTCAAATTATACACATGTTATAGTTAAATAAAATAAAATTAACAAGATTGTTGAAGCTTAATCTATTCAAATAAATTTTTAATATAAAACGTTAACTTACTTCGTATTAATTCTTATTGTTTTTAATGTCAATATCTCATTTACATGAAGGCTTCATAAGTAGGTGACCAAGAAAATTTGAATTCTCAGAAGGCACTTTATATCAATAAGAAATGACATTATCATTTCCATAACGTTCTCCGCATTAATGTCACTGGAGCAGTGTGTCATTAAGCAAAAACATCGATTACTGGCTCAATTGGCCGATATATAATGGCTTAAGTAACAGCTAGAGCGCGTATTAGCTATTATGATTCCATTCTAGATTTTGTAGCATAGGAAAATAAATATCTATGGCTATAAAGGTCTAATAAGCAGTTGCAGAGCAGTGTGGCTTCGGCGAGCAACTGATGTCGTAGGTTTGAAGCCCGCAGTGCACCGATAGACTTACTTACTTGCTGATCACCTACTTGCTTATTCTAAACAATGAAACCAAACAGATACAGAAGTTTAAGGCCCAGACATTAATAGTTTTAGCGCCTTTTTAAAAAGCGCTTAAAATACATTAATGTTTTATAGAATTAAATCTATAATAATGATATAAATTATGGTAGGTGGCTTGCTAATGATTCATGATCAGGAGGTGAAAATGTTAAACAATATACGAAGACATAGTTTTATATAGATAGATAGATAGATGATATAGATTGGTGAGCAGCTCTAGTCGAATACGCGTTGACGCACGACATGGTACTTCACGTCCGTTTGACCGATCATAATCGAACACAACGTTTTGCCTTGCGTCTTTTGTACTTTCCGACTCATTTCTAGGGGGTCTTGACTACTAAGTGACACCATGTGTACCAATCTTGATTTGTTTGACAATCTCCTTGAAAAATAGAATTTACATGCAAACACTTCGAGGCATAAATATACATTTGGGAAAATTTTCTGTTCAGAGGAGTTGTACGGACAAATACCTGCAGCTGAGTTTCATCATCGGACGTCAAGGCAGAATACAAAATACCATCCGTATCACCTTGACGTCCGTCGTTCCACAACTGAGCGATTCTTAAGGCAATTTCTGCCGCGCACCACCACTATGTGGAATCAGCTGCCCACTGAAGCTTTTCCGCAATTTGACTTAGGGTCCTTCAAGAAAAAAGCGTACCAGTTCTTAAAAGTCCGGCAGTGCGCTTGCGAGCCTTCTTGCAGTGCGAGTGTCCATGGGTGGCGGTATAACTTAACATCAGATGAGCCTTCCTGCCCGTCTGCCTCCTGTAACATAAAAAAATACTTTAAGGAGGGCAACGATATACAGTGCGACCCCCTCGACTTCACTCTACTGCTAATTCATAATTAATTGAATAAAGCTGATGCGTCATTATAACAGCTCCTGTAGGAATGGCGATTGCTTTTTTATTCATATAAAGCAACACTATAGACATTCTTACGTTATCCACAGCTTGTAGCCGCAAGGTGGTCGATTGAGACCATTTCGAAAGTTTATCGGCCTTGACGAATTGCTCACTTATATACGTGACCGCGGTTGACCATCTATGACATGCCCAACGCTTTTGGATATAAAACTATTTTAAATATCCACACGTAGGAATTTTGAACAAAATCTTAAACGTTCAATGTTTTTTCCCGTGATCCTTGATTGTCTGTTGCTTTAGTTCAATTATTACGTGTGCATTTCGTTACTATTCTTGCTGTATTTACAAATAATATATGTAGTTATTACAAAATGTATACATTATTTAATGTATTTATGTTTATATGTGAATAAGCAAGATATCGGTCGTAGTATAGGAATGTAGTTTAGTGATGCTATAGTGATGCAAATGACTTTTATTCTGGGAGTTCATTTGTCGACATTATCGAAAGCGTTTCAAAAATATAAAACTGACACAGAAATGTGTCTGCTTGGTCCCATTGAAGAATTTCCGGGGTCCACCCTAGCAAAGGAATAGATAAAAATAAAGTAAGGTTTTTGTTATGGTCTCTCCGCTTTTAGCTTACTTTTAATTATTATCATAAAATATCAAATTTGATGTTTTATACCTTATTCATTGCTTACTAACGCAAACATATGTTAAATTTTGATAGCTTTACGCTTAACGATATGTGTATTATTGTCGTAAACACTTCCTATAATTAAAAAAAATATTAAGAAAACAAAGAAAAGCCATCCTTTTCTATATAGTAATTACTTAGACTAATTATGCTATTAACCATGAGATTAAAGGTTTAATTATATCCGGTTTCTATCCGGTAATATCTGTTATTTGAGTAACATGTAAGAGATTATATAACTGTTTGCTCCTTTAACCTTTATTATATAATTAAACCTTGAATAAATGTTATATTATTTGCACGTTCAATCTAAAATATACGTGATATTATTTAACTAATTATACATTTAGTTCAATAAGAACTTTAATAACAATAATTTTAAAGAATTCTGCATGCAGCGGTTCGGTTTTTATTAATAAATTTAAGTTACACCATGTTATAATCGATTCAATGGCGTAGCTGGTCTTTTGCAAATCTAAAAACAATGATTAAATGGTAGTATCTGCCCCTTTCCCCGTACTGTTAAGTCTAAATAATTAGTAATTCGCTTAGAAGTGGGCTCTCGCTAAGTTCATTGTGTGGCAAACTTGCATAGAAAAAATTTCATCGATTTTGTGGCCCATCCTTAATCCATATATAGTTAGTTATTATTTATTAACTTTATTTGTTAATATGTTTAACCTTCACAAATGGACAATCAGAGTGATGAAAGACGGAAGTAATTTTACTAAGTTAATGTAGAGAAAATCCGTTTCTTGTTTTTCTTTTCTTGTATTTGATGGAACGACCTTAATGAAGTATATTTACTTTTCTTTGCTGAATTATCTCAAGTGGTAAAAGTTCTCTTATTCTATGTGAACATATATATAGGTCTAAATATTAACCTTCATTTCTTGGCATGTTAAGAATAAAATGAGGTTTCAAGAGTTCAGATAATGTACGAAAATAAGTTTAAAACGCATGGTATGTACGCAAGATGTGCCATTTTCGTATGTCACAGGAATATCTACAAAAATTAATACTTTTACTAGTAATGGTTTTGAACTGATTACTATGAACGCTGTTAAATTATATGCTCATATGAATTAACAACGTCACAGAGCTAATAAATTACCAGCATCGTAATAATGACAATGACAACTGACAGTAACGTAATTGCTCCGACATATAGAGTATGAGATATAAGCAAATACAAACACTTAGTAAATCTATATTATATATTATCTGATAAAGAAATCAAGGTATAAAAAATAAATAAGTCTTTAAATTATTAACATCTAATTATTTTTTATTACAATAAAATGACCTTAGCGATTTGAAAGTTTAACTGGTTAAAAATTATTTATAATATAAAATAATCGGGTTTTTTTTTCCCCCCCCCCCCCCCCCGCGCCCCCCCCCCCCCCCCCCCCCCCCCCCCCCCCTTGGGGGGGCCGGGGCCCCCGGGGGGGTTTTTTCGGAGGGAAAAAGGGGAAAAAAAAAAAGGGAAGGGGGGGGGCCACCAAAGAAGGGAAGACAAAAAGGGGGGCGGGGGGGGGGGGGGGGGGGGGCCGCGGGGGTTTATAATATAAAATTGACTACTAATTTTATTGCTATTATGTCTGCAACTTCCTATAAAAGGAATACGTTTTTGGCCACTCACGGAACATGCAACTACTAAATAAGTAGCTTTAGAATATATAATGGATCTATTGTTATTATCATTAGTCACATGCATAATCAAACGATTGTTCCGTTCTGATCATCTATATAGAAACCATAAAAGGAAGAAACCTTGATATTTTTTTATATATTTTTACCTAATAGTTCCTCTGGACGTCCGTGGCCCGCATCACTGAGGCCACACGCGATTTTAGTCATAATAGCCACTAATTTGTATGTGGACCTTATAATTAATTTATTACTAAGCTATAATTATCGTTTTTATCTTAAGATTTTTATGGTAGTAGGCAAAATCGTAATCTTGCAGGTTGGAAGAAACAAAATATTGTGGATACTATTACTTCTACTATACTTCCGGTAAGGAAATCAATATAGTTGTTAATAAAATTACGCCTGTCTTATACATTTATTCTTTATCCTAAGTTTCTGGCTCGCACTGATTAGATTCTTGTTTTTTTTATTTATTTTTTTATGGCTCTGGCACGGTTTGTGCATTAGCCAGCGTCAAGTATAAGATTTTTATAATTCGTGCTTGCCTTAGAAATTCAACCGTGTCCTCCATGTGCGGTTTAACTCGCCCGGTACCGCACAACCCTCCCAAAGGCCGAGAACAAATTTAAATTAAATTAAAACTTGCCCTCGAACCGGGAATTGACCCCGGTACCCCTCACCTAGCTGCCACTTAATAAGACCGCTAGGCTATGAGGCCCTCAAAAGATTCTTGTTATAGATATATTTCTATTATTATGTTTAGGTAATCAAATTTAATGATCATAATAATATTAATTCCCAGTTTCACATCACATCATATAGTCAGAAACTTGTATGACAACAATATTAAATATATAAACATAACGCAACGTACTCACTTTCCATTTCGAAGTCCGGTTGAATGACCATTTCACACGATCGAAATACAGACCATATTAATACTGAAATATGTTAAAATTAAATGAAAAATAATATGTTTATTTTTTAGTTGTTTTTGGAATATTTAAAAAGGAATCTGTCGGTTAATTTATAGACTACTAGCTGACCCGGCAAACGTTGTTTTGCCACGTATAATATTTCTAGGACACATTATTTAGTTCAATAAAAATAACTATCAACTATACTAAAAAATAGGGGGTTGGTCGTATAGGGGTGAAAATGTAGGCTTGTATGTATTTTTTAATGCCATATAATAAAAAAAATTATATTATAATTTTTTTGGGGTGGACACCCCTTATCGTATAGTAGCCGATTCTCAGACTTAATGAATATGCATAAAAAAATTTCATAAGAATCGCTCGAGCCGTATCGAAGGAGAATAGGTATGGGAACGAACATTGTGACACGAGAATTATATATATATATATATTAGATTAACTCTTGTTATTATAATAAATACCTAAGTAATTTTACAGGATTTACCTATTATAAACTATAGCTTGTGTATGATAGACCTTAATTATTAATATAATTATTTTAATAATCTAGATATAAATTTATCTTGTACATAAAAGTATGTAAGTAAGTGAAAGAATTTAAATTAGTCAGTCACTTCTTGAGTGTATTCGCTACAAACATACAAAAATACAAATGTTTCCCCTCTATAATATTATTTTAATTAGTATAGATTTTAGAAAAATTATCTGCGAATAATTTTGATGATGTAATACTTTGCTTTACCTAATGAAGTGTTTGATTAGGCAAAATAGCCATACTTCGGTTAATACTTTTTGTTTGTACGATCAATATTTCCATGATAAAATAATTCTTATTTTCATAGTTACACATTAGTGTTAACTTCATAATGCAAGATGTTTCAAAATTTGTCAAGACCTTTGGTTTACGAGAGGTCAAGAACACGTAATTTACATTAATTTTCACTTTAACTTCACTTACAAATAGCAACACTATTGCCTTAACACAAACTCCTTTATATAAACTCATTTTCAAATTCATATTGTTTCTTTTAATTTGTTTTAAACAATTGTATATTTTTTTGTAAATATAAATTAAGTTTTCATGTCTAAGGATTTCACTCTCGCCTTTTGTATTAGTTTATGTATAAACTATTTTAATGCTCGTTAGCGAAACAAATAAATAAATTAACTATAAACCAGTACCGTGTTCATTATTTTAAACCATAAACTGTATATTAATCGTGAACGTAAAACCTACCTATATGTGCTTGAATTTTTGATTCTGTTTCTCTGCTGATTTTCTGTATACAAAATTGAGTTAGCCTTCAATGCCAGACACAGGTCTTTTATTTGTGACCTGCTGGATTCTTCTCGTTGTTTTTTTTGACCGAACAAGTGCAGATTGCGCATATAGATAGACGAAATCTATTGAAAATGGCACGCTTGACTTATTTATCGGCGCTTTGATAACTTGGCTAAGCTAACAATGCTTATAATGCGTAATGTATTGTTAGAGTAAATAATACTGTTACATATGGGTTTTCATATTCCATAATTTCGCCTGTCTCAACAAATCATATAAAAACAATAGCTCACTTAATGGTAATAGTCCATTGAATAGAAGGATTTCACGGCAATTTGCGATGCGCATTTGTTTCGCTGAGTAACCTAAGAAATGACAATTTATTTGTAGTTATAGCTTGTTAAATTTTTATAATTTATTGTGTGAATATAGTACTAGGACGCCGCAGTGCTCGCAATTATGCTTCGCTTCAGCACAAATTTGAGTGGAGCGAGTGTTCAACTCAATTTTTAATGATGAGTAAAAATACATCGATTCAAAACATTTAATTTAAAGATTTGATTTTGTTGAAAGGACTTTTTAGTTTTAGGTCTCCTTCGAAGTTGTTTTTCCGCTTATTTTGTGATTTATTCGTAAATATTATTGAGTTTTTATAGCCTATAGCACGGGAAATTTTTCCATCTTTAATTTAAAAAAGAATTTTCAAAATCGGTTAAGCCGTTCAAAAGCCGTTCAGAGAGTGGGCGCATGGGAGCTCAATAATTTTTCTCATATAAATATAATAGTCAGAAAATAAATATTAATTTATTATGATATTAGTCAGACTAATTCATAGCTATATATGACACAGAATATATAGCTATGAATTAGTCTGACTAAGAAACTTTTTTATTATTACATTATAATACATGCTTAATTGGTAATATGTGCAATCGTATTGACCGTGTAACATTTATTAACAATTCCATTAATGCGTTAACGATATTTATTTAGTTACCTACTTTGTATTTTTCTAAGTATTTCCAAACATAAATTGCAACATGCATAATAATATTTTATTAGGATGTGTATGATAAGATATCTCATTCATTTATTAAAGTTTTTTACAAAACATTTAAATCAAAATCGATGGCAATATACTTCATATTGCTATTTTTATATATTTTATAATTGACCAAAAAAAATTAATATGGGTATTTATATTTGCAACATAATTAAACAGTAAATTATTTCCGTGAACCTTGTTGTTTTGCCCTTTACAACAAGATTGATATCTCATAAATCTCATTTCATAAATAATGTCGCTGTAGAAGAAGCAGTCACTTCCATCATATCTCTCCTATTGGTTTGAAATAGGTAATAACAAAAAAGAGCTGTGAAGTATATAAAAACATATTATGTCAATTAATTGATTGTCCTTGAGGCTTTATTAATAAACCTCACTCGTCACTATAAGTTAACGTAAATGTAGAATATTTTATTTTATTATTAAAACACCAAGGAAATGAAATAAACGCAAAGGTATGCCTTTCTCCAAAGCATCCGGCTGGGAGTGGCCTCTGAATCACATTTGGCTGGCTACTGTGACGGTCAGTGACCGGTGAAAGTGATGTCATATAGTTTTCGACATCTATTATTATTTAATTACTAGCTCACAACGTTAGCAGTCATTCGATGCACAGTGTTCCTAGAGTCTCTAGAAATATACAATAAGTTTAATCAAATTCTACCAAAAAGAAACCGTTTTTGTTATTGTCTTTACCTTATGAGTGGATGACTGATATATATACACAGCAAAAAATAAGTATAAAACTTAATGCGATAAAAATTCTAATCTAAAAAGTTAAACGTAAAGTAACCTAATTAAGACTGGTTCATGGGGGACTTAATAAGCTTCAAAGCGCTGGCACTTCCGTATTTACATTAATAGGTAATTTAGAGACATCAGACAGGTACTAAAGAAAGATTTAAATAATGGGGCATAGTAATATCTCTACAAAAACTAGTAAAAAGAAACTTTATTCTCTTTACTTATTTATTAATATTGTTCTTCTATCCTCTAACTGAGAGTTTATGGTAAAAAAATAATCTGCCCACGTCGATCATAAATCTCTTAAAGACGCCGAATTTATGTTTTGATGTTAGAAACAACACAAGTCGTATAACCGAAACTATTGCCCACAAAGGCGATTTAACCTTTTATAGAATAGCAGTAGGTGTAAGTTTTGTACAGGACGAAGAGAAATCTAGGTCATGTTGCATCCTGTAACGTTGCATAACGCACGATTATTAAATAGTCTATTAGAAAACGCTAATTACAATGTAATTTGCTGAATTATTAGCTTTATTTGGTGATCTGCCTTGCGATTCTGTAACTCACTTTTCGAACTCTCACAGCGGCGGTCGCGCTCAAATCAGTCGTAAAGCAGTCATTTTACGATTTGGCATTCTGATAGAGAGCTGTAGTTTATTGTTTATCAGAGTGAGTTACAGAACGCAAGGCTGGACAAGATTATTATTTTATTAGACACGTTTCCAGGAACCTTTAGTTGTACTGGACAACTATTATAGCAGTTGCGTTAGACTGGTGGCTGTGCGTGTCTATTTTCTTGCGTTCGAATCACGTGGGAAGTCTGAAACGATACGGAAATCTTAGGCCAAAAACAAGGGTAGCACTACTATTTTTTTAGATTGCTACTTCTACTGGCCTTGGCTATTTAATAATTCATTGATTTAAAAAAAGTTTGTATATGTCATTCAAGCGTATAAGCTCACGCATATTAACAAGGCCAAGCTTTCAATTAACATGATTTATGTAACAATAGAACTATCAATATAATAAAATTACCGTAAAACGGTCACAGTGTCTCAAAAAAAAACTCAAAACTCACTGACGGTAAAATTTAGTATAGTATTAAAAATAAATTACGCTAGGATCACGCGTGATTGATAACAAAGTAGGCTATTGGTGACTTTCTTGTTGAGGGAAGCCGGTTGGTAGCAGTGCCGGTTTAAGCCGGTTGCGCATGGCGAAGACTGCATAAAGTTATGACTTTCAGGTTTGGTATTCTAAAGGTCGTAGTAGTGACCTGTGACATGTTGAACGAGACACATAAATTCGTTTAAAAAAAGTTATCCAACTCCAAACATACTAAGAAATCTGTTATTTCTATTAGTCCTGTATTAGCAAGATAATTAAATCTATCCAACAATATGTATTTAATTTATTATTATACGGGATATGACGATCACAGCAAGATAAAAAGATTAATGAAAATAATAATGAATGAATGAAATATTTAAACAAAGGTTCACTGACTACCAAAGTTCATGGTGGGCGTCTAAAATAACATTATAAAAAACGAACGGGTTAATTGTTTAAATTAATTTACCGACACAAATCGCAATTGCTAACCTTTTTGTAATTTTACTTAGATCGTATCTAACAGTAATTGTCGTTATTCTTTTGTTTATAAATTCATTTAGCACATGCAAGAACTTAATAATATTGTTAAACAATGTGGGGTATCATTATAATAATTGTTACAAAATCTTAAATGTGTTAAAGCTTTTAGCTTTATTGATCCCTTGGCGTTGCGTAGAGATGTGGGGTCTCTCAGCACTGCATTTACGAGTACCATGGAGTGTGTTCAGAGGAGTTGCTCGATATCGGAGCAGCTGAATTCATCATCGGACGTCGAGACAGAATACAAATCTCCTCCCGTATCACCTCGACGTCCGCACATTCCACAATTGAACGTTATTTAAGGCAGTTTTTGCCACGCATTCACTATGTGGAACCAGTCACTTGACTGTGTTCTATTCACAGACCATAGGATGGACAATAGTTACAAGTGTAAAACCGATTGATAAGAAAAAAGTTCGCTTCGAGTAATAAATAATTTCCACAAATATCATAACAGTTCTCTTATGATATATTTCTACTACTATTTTTCAGTTCATGTATAAAGAAACGTTAATTATATTCTCTTTTGTTTGTTAAACTTACCTCGGTATAATCCTAAAGGTTTACATCTGTGTTATTATTATGTTTTTTTAATTATTTCAGATGTAGTGACGCCACTCTGCGTACTGGAATCAGATTTTGGCTTCAAAATAAACTGCGCCTTCAAGAAATCGGGTCTCTTCAGAGTACGGAATCTTGGTGGAGTAAAAGCACACGCTAGTTTAGGTAATATGTTATTTTTGTTAGGTGCATAACTTGTAAGTTGACAGTTGCCAAAACTCGAGCCTTATTTACTACTATGATACAACTTTTAAAATGATTAAAGCTTCCTGAGCGTTTATGACTCATCATTAATATTCATTTAAATCTCCTATAACACTTATACTAAAATACTATTTTATATGGACTGCAAGATCTTTAATTACAGAAATGCAATTATCAAACAAACTTTCAATACACATTTCATTTTACAATATATGATTGAGCATTAAATTAATATCCTGCCATACCATATTGAATACGACTTATCGTTTAACGTTTCAGGTTTCAGTTTTGGTGACGAACTTGGTTTTGACCAGTCCTTAACCAACCAGGATCCGAGTCGAAGAAGATCTGTAAGTTTAAAGAATGGAGCACCAAATATCCTTGTGGATACCACAAATAGACCTGCTAAGCAAGAGGTAAATTTTTTTGTAAATACTAAAATTACTAAAAAATTTATAAATATAAGACATTTTTGGTATTTTTGTCTTAATGTCTTAAATCTTAATGTTAACTAATCATATATTGTACTATTGAGAACGGTTCGGTGGACGTTGTAAGCCCTAAAATTGAGGGCGTGACTAATAAATAAAATTGTCAAAAATGTAATCAGTGCGTCTAGCATAACCCAAGGAAAAACAAAAAAAAGTAAATCAAGTCTGACGATAGGTCTAGTTAAATATTATTATATATCATTAGAATTTTTAAAATAAAGAAAAATTTTCTTACGATAATGTTATATGAATCTAACGAGTACGTTACATGTTTCTTATTGCTTATACACAAACATTGTTATTATATATAATAACAGGTGTCTCAAAAGAAAGTTTACATTTCAAGTCAGAGCGTTATGTAAAAAAGGTTAATCGACTTCTTGGTGCCTGAACTTCAAAACTTTCCTGGCTATAACCAAAGAACCTGGTTCCAGTAGGACGGACGTCCAATACGTCTCTGCCACGAGTTCGTGTAATTTTCTCAGGAAAATTGATCTCCAGGAGAGGTGACATAAATTGGCCTCCACGCAGTCCTGATTTTACCCCTATGGATTTTTATATATGGGGTGGGGTTATCTTAAATCTAAAGTCTACGTCTATAAGCCGACTTCTCTGGCGCAATTGAAAGAAAATATCCGTCACGAAATGGCAGCCATCACTGAGTACAGCTGCCGAGCATTCATAAGTAATTTTAATGTTCGATTTAATGAGTGCCGCGAATGCGAGGGTCTACATTTAGACGGTATTATTTTTAAACAATATATTCCCAAAATGTGTACTTTAATAATGAATAAACACTTTTTTGATAAACGACTTACTTTTTTAAATCGATCAACTAAATATGAACTTTCTGTTGAGACACCCTGTATTTGTGTAGTTTAATTTTACATATGTCGTTAACTGTTTTCCACGTAAAATATATGATTCACAACAGAGTATGTGGTCACAACACAGAGATATCCCGAGTCTGTGGACTAGCGTCCGTATAATTAGCTACCACTCAACTTTGTTTTATTTTTAATAAATAAAAAAAATAAAGGTTCAAAATATTTCTACGGAAAATTAGTATATTAAATGCTTGTTTTTAAAAGAAATGATTACTAGACGGTTATATTTAAACTTATTCATGATTTTTGATTTTCAGAAACGGGGCAAACAGAATAGAATTATGATGCGGCCGGTTCCTCAACCAGGTCGCCCTAATCAAGCGGCTATGAATAAACTAAGTACTTTGCACAAACGTGTCACAACCACCATGCAACCAATCATCGTTTCTGGACCAATTGGCCCGAACAAGGCACAACCAACAATCACTATGGCGAAGCCAATGGCCATGGGGGTACCCGCTTTCAAACCGCTACCCCCTAAAGAAGAAACTCTCAAAGTTCTACCCATCGCAACAAGAAAAACTTTCACGCCACTAGATGTACCCCAAGGAATGACGTATGAAAGTGAGAATAAACCAATTTTACATGATAATGTATCTAAAATGGTATCACAAATGCGCATCAAACCCATCAAATCGGTTAATCCATTCGTACCCATGCCAGCACCGAATCAGCGGTTTTCCCCCACTTCTAACATACCATCAACTTACAACCCCACTTCTAACTTACCATCAAACTTTAACCCCACTTTTAACTTACCATCAAACTTTAACCCTTCTTATAACACACCAGCCACCTTTAATCCCGCTTCTAATTTTATAGACCCAGTCTCCCACCAAGTGCAAGATTTGGCATACAATACCAAGAAAGTTGACGATTATAACAGTATAAGTGGATATAGCGATGATACGACTTTAAAGCTAAATAAGGAAGATATAAATACTAAAATCGCTGAAATTGCGAAAGCTGGAAATATTTCTATGGAAGCAGTAGAAGCGGCGATAGCGTTGAGGCAACAGCAGCTGTTGAATAAATACGCAAATATTCAAATACCAACAACAACGACGACGTCAGAGCCTCCTGTTGTTTTTGAGTTAGAACCGGAACCGGAAATCATCGTTGCGCCACCACCACAGAAACCTAAGAGGTACCTCTATAGTAGTCCTAATAAAATTCCATTTAATGAATAAAAATCTGATTAGTTTATATGTTAACATTTTAAGCATTATCAAGAAATTGGCATTGGCGTTTTATTTTTATTTAGTTATAAAAACTTAATTTAAAAAATGGGAATCAATTAAACTCACCATATTTTACTTCTTACCTACTTACTTGGTATTTGATGAATAAATTTACCGAATAAATAAGTTTATTTTTTAAGTTAATGAACTTAAAGGTAACCACGAACGAATGGTAATTTATTTGAATTTAATTTAACGATATAATCAGTACATAAATTTAGGCATTTTCTGAAAGAGTAGTATCATGCGTAACGATATAATTATTGTATTTTATTATCTATATATATAAAAATGAAACCCGTTTTCCGTTGTCACGACATAACATGAAAACGGCTAGACCGATTTGTCTGATTCTTTTTTTATAATATACCTACCTTGAAGTACGAGGATGGTTCTTACGGAGAGAAAAATTAAAAAAAATTGAGTGAAAAAGACTAAAAACAATTATCTATGTTCCCATACAAAATATTCGTAATAATACTTAAAAGTCAATTTGAACTTTAATACCATATCATAAAGTTCAAGTGTTAGTGGAGGGGTCCCGGGAAGGTAAATTTTTATTTTTTGACATAATGTATTTGTTGTATTATCAACTTTCTTTTTTTATCTTACTAGCTAGACCGGTGTCCCGAATAGCAGAATAAGTATTTAAAAAAAATAAAGAATCGACTGTTAGGCGGTACGATGTTCGCCAGGCCAGCTAGTTGTATATGTCACCGTAAAATTGTAAACACCGTTAGATTGTAATCTATCTCGCGAGATTGTAAACTGTCGAAAGATTGTGAACCTCAACGAACTGCTTACAATTTAACGTATTATTATTCGGTAGATTGTAATCTATCGAAGTGAAACCGTCAAATTGTGAAACGGATCGCACCTCGCGGCTGATTGGTTGAACGGAATATGCCCCGCGCCACCATATTTGTTTCTTAATTCGTTTGTTGTCGAATGTAAATTGATTGTTTTGATGAATGTAAATTGATGTCGTGTTGAAAGTAACTCACAGCTTTAGAAATAGTTATATAAAATTGTTGGGAAGTTAAATTAATCTGTGATTGACCAAAGAAGTTTGAATGATAACTTATAGTATCATCAGATTCGGGTTACCGATTTCTAAATCCAACTCATTTTCTCCTCAAACACAAATTAAAATTGAAAAATTAATGAAATTTTCTTTCATTTCATTTCCAACACTAACTTAGTTATCATTCAAACTTCTTTGGTCAATCACAGATTAATTTAACTTCCCAACAATTTTATATAACTAATTCTAAAGCTGTGAGTTACTTTCAACACGACATCAATTTACATTCATCAAAACAATCAATTTACATTCGACAACAAACGAATTAAGAAACAAATATGGTGGCGCGGGGCATATTCCGTTCAACCAATCAGCGCGCGAGGTGCGATCCGTTTCACAATTTGACGGTTTCACTTCGATAGATTACTATCTACCGAATAATAATACGTTAAATTGAAGCGTACGCTGGGTTCACAATCTTTCGACAGTTTATAATCTCGCGAGATAGATTACAATCTAACGGTGTTTAAATTTTACGTTAACATATATACATTTATGGTCCTACACCATCCGAACGGTTTTAACTTGTACTAATACATAGATAGCGCTATATTTACACAAGACTATATGTAGCTTTAGTTGTATCCAATAGATGCCGCTATAGTAAATATAGTCATGGTAGTGATGGTGCATATAATTTTTTTTTCTATTCAGGAACCCAACGTTAGGGAAAGTAATGAATGCCCCAAGAGAGTATTATCCTGTTGGTTACGAGAAAAACTTTGATGACCACTTCCAGTCCAAGGTGGACCTTCCTGACACTAACTTCCACTGTGGGGACCAGAAATACTTTCCTGGATTGTATGGAGATGAGAACCTTGGTTGTATGGTAAGATTTTGTCTTTGATTTTCTTATTTGGTGATTACGTCAACAGTAATTATTTACTTTATACACATATAACACACACATTGTCCATGCTCGAAAACGAAATGCATTTTCGAGGATTCCTACAAAAAATTAATACGTTTCTGTACTATTATTTTTGTGAGCTTTGCTCACTTTTGCGGACAAGAGAAGGGGGGGGGGGGGGAGTTACTAAGGGTACAAGTCACACTTTTATTTTCACCGAATATGTTTTGGCTTCTACCATTTCTATTTATATAGACTACTATCATTGGCTATTGTTTCGTGTATGTTTAATATTTCTTTTTAATAATTGTTTAACTTAATAAAATAAAAAGCCCTGTGTTTCTCCTAAAAAAAGTTACAATTAGTTAATATAATTTTCTTAAAATATGAGTTGAAGGCCTTCTCTTATAAGAGCCAGTCCTTTGATTGGGCCTCCCTATATTAGATTTTCCATTCATCTTGCACGGTGTCAACTGTCAAATATGTCAAAATTCATATTATAAAGCCTTAAGTTCTTATATCAGCATTATGTTTCCAGGTGTTCCACGTATGCGCATTAACAGACGATGGACTGGTAATGAAATCTTTCCTTTGCCCGGAGTCGACTCTCTTCGACCAAACCATTCTTAAATGCAACTGGTGGTTCTACGTCGATTGCAAAAACACCGCTTCCTTATATGACACTAATATACCTGTATCTAAAAGTTATCAGCTGATGAAAGCGCTGACATTCTTCAGCTCCTATAAGAAGGAAATTGAGGATGGTATGTTTTTATACATTTTGTAATTTTTTACATAAAGAAAAGGCAATATAATATGAAAATGCATTTGATGATTATTAAATTTATCGGAACAACCGCGGCGGTTCGTTCCTCCGCTAACAATTGTTTTGGCTAAATATCTTATAGACAAATGCATACATTAACATTTAATCAAAAAAACGTCAATAGGCCACAGTATATATTTAAAAATTACTTATGTACAGGTCATCCAACGAATCCAGAAGACGTCGGCGGCATCAAAGATGCAATAACAATTCTAGAAAACCATGATTTAAAAACATCCGATACAGAAAAAGTAGAAATTATAACTCCATCACCGACACCACTCATTGACGAAAGACATAATAAAAAAGAAGAAATGACACCAGTCTATCGAGGGAATAGAAAATTAAATAATACAAGAGATACAAATGAATTCAGATTAATTACAGTAGGAGCCGGAATTAATTTTAATTCCACAAAAAAATCAGATAGACGAAGACTTGCATATAGGTTTAATAGAAATTCTACGACTACAGCAAGCCCTTCTTCTACTGAAACAACAACAGTAAAAGAAAAGCCAAAAGAAGATAATCCAAGTGTTGAAAAAGAAGAAAAGTTGACAGACCAAATAGAATCGGATACATTATTAAAGGAAGCAGAAACCGCAGCGCCAGTAAGGAGATTTTATAGATCAAGCGCGGAGAAGGAAATAGCGATAATTAATAATGAGAAAGTTCAAATTGTTAGACCAACTCAAATTAGATCTACGTCTATACTAGATGAAGCGGTGTTAGGCAAATCATTTGCGCGGTTTAAAAGGGAAGTCTTAAGAATACCTCATAGTCTATAGTCCAAATAGGTAAATTTTAGTGTCATATAACTTATTTATTTTCTTGATAGGGAGCTGGTCGTTTACTGTTAGATATTTTGGCTTTTGTATTTAGACCTTTTGAAATTGGAGCTTATATTTTAGTAGTTGATTTAAATGTTTGGTCTGTGGGTGAAATCATCAAATCATTCATTTAAAAAATTGAGGCACGAGATAGTTCTAAATATTTTAGAACTTTATTAAATCTGGGTCCTTTATTAAATACCTCTCTAAATCTATAATGGATGTTCTTTAGAGATTCAGAAGCACCAAATACCTTGAAGAAGGTAATTTTTAATTTAAATAAGAATTTCCCTTCGCTAGAAATATGTTCACGACTAGCTCTTTAGACTATTGAGATAAGTATCAAATGTACTGACTTAACATAGTTGCTCAATATATACTTTAGTTGAGGTTTCAGTCAAGTGATATTACGGTGTTTTAGTTGTTAGAATATAAACTTGTTTCCTAATGTTGTTTATTTCTTTAATCATAAGTACCTTATTAAAATAATATTCAGTCTGAACCGTTTTAACTGTCCCTTGTTATCATAGCGTAAAAACAATTTGATATATATACGAGAGTACTTTAAATGTTAGGATTATGAATCAGTTTTTATGGAGATACTTAAGCCGGTTGCAGACCGAAAACTAAGCTATGCCAAGGCTAATCTAAGCTATGCCAAGCAAGCTAGGCTTAGCTAAGCTAGAAATAAATAGCGTGCAGACCAAGAGCAAGCACGAGTTAGCTTAGCTCGCAAGCTGACGCAATTTTCCATACGTCTGTGCAGACCGCAAACTATGCGAACAAGCTATGTGAGCAACAAAATATGCGAAGCAAGTTAGTTGTGTATGCCGATGCGCAGCACACGAGCAAGTTAAGCCCCTCCCGCTACCCCGCACACCCTTTGCACATACTATGCAACACTGACTGAGCTTTGGGTTAGCTGTTGGTGTGCACGCTATTTATTTCTAGCTTAGCTTAGTCTAGCTTGCTTGGCATAGCTTAGTTTAGCCTTGGCATAGCTTAGTTTTCGGTCTGCAACCGGCTATAGCATGCACACCAACAGCTAAGCCAAAGCTCAGTCAGTGTTGCGTAGTTCAATTAGACGGTCGTCGCCAAGAACACTGGACAGCACTGGCGAAGGATGTGCAAAGGGTGTGCTGGGTAGCGGGAGGGGCTTAGCTTAGCTCGTGTAGCTGCACATCGGCATACACAACTTACTTAGCTTCGCATATTTTAGTTAGCTCACATAGCTTAGTTCGCATAGTTTGCGGTCTGCACACAAGTATGGAAAACTGCGTCAGCTATGCGAGCTACGCACTTAGCTCTTGGTCTGCAACCCGTATTAAAACTCTATCATAACTGAATTAAGCAAAGAAATTGATAAATGACAACACAATTCTTTCAAATAGGAAATTTGCATCTATGCTATACACTATGTATTCCAGAAAGCTGATAAGGCAATAATAAAAACCATCAATGTGAAATTTTATTTCAAACAAAACTCAAGAATTATTTCTTAGTTGATTTTAAAAGGCATCTCAGAAACTTTTCACAAAACAGCGGCCCACACGCAATTAGGCCTACTGCTGCTATCGCAGACGCGCAACTCATGCAAATCATTATTAAAACTAGTATTTTTATTAGAACATTAGAAACTAAAACGGTTTACGATACTAAAGATAAAAACGTTTAAGACGGTGTAAATAATGGAGTTTCAATAATCGTACCACAAGAGAGAACAAAGTAGATGATATAAATAATAAAGTACAAGAGAAATAATAGCTAGATATTAATCAATACGGCATTCCGCAGTCAGGACAGATAGGATTTGTAGGGCAGGAACACTTGCGCTCGAACAATCCACGGGTACAGAGCGGTAGGCAGATCACCAAAGTTGCGACGCTCACTAGACTTAAGAGCGATACACAAAACATATGAGGCCACGCCGCTCGGTCCCCCTTGGCGGATCCTGAAAAAGTACAATATGGCAGAATTCCAGATTTATCAGGAAATTAATACTAATTGAAACCACGTTTTTTCTTAATCTTTTAAGATAATTGTCGTGTGATTAAACAAAAATATACCTAACAATTATACACAATACGTGTATAATCGGTTTAATGTGTAAAACATATTTTGCATATCGGATTTTGTCAGGCATTCGAATTTGTCATTCATCAATGGATTTAATATTTTACTTACTGTCTACATATACATTTATTTGTTTGTCAGGCGAATGTTCCAGGATTAATATTTTCTTCGTCCTATTGATTATTATTGGTAGGTACTAAAAATTAACAAGGCCAGCTTTTCGACTTAATTCTTACTATTTTACGCAGCGAATATCTCAATTAACAGAACACTAGTAGTTTGTGGGAATACTTACGCAGTGTACCTGCTGCACTTCTAGGGATTCAGTTTGATTTCTTTTATAAACCAAATGATAATCCTGAAAGTAGGATTATTCGTGCACAATTCCACAATAATTTTACAGTCATATTGTTTTAAATTTTACAAAAAAAATATGTTGACGCCTAATTGACACTGTAATTTAAAACCCTAAAACTTTTTCTTATTTTAAATTAGAAACAAGTTGTCATTTTTTTCATAAATACTTCATTGTATAAAGTCTATAATAAATAGAAAACGTCCACGAAGGTTATGTAAATTCATTAAAATACTACTGTATATAAAATTGTTGTAAATATTTTACTAGCTTCGAATATTATGAATATTTTTTACCCTAAAGAGTGACATATTCTCCTGCGTATTTTTTTCATGTATACATTTTAGTTTATAACGCCTATCCGGTATAAAACTGTATTGTGCAGTCAGGCGCTGACAAAATACCCATATATTCATGTTAACAAGTTACGACAATTGCTACAATAAAACGTGTGGTTCTCTTTATTTTTTATTATTTACTGTTAAAACACAGGTCACTTAATTTGATTTTGATTTCCGGGGACAACAGGGAACATTACACGATATGCGTGATGTTTTTTTGGATGCTGCTTTCGCTTTTTTCGCTCTCAACTCCTGTAAAAAATGATCTAAGAGTACTGGACAACAGGAAATTATACTGGCCGCTATAACAGCAGTGCAGAAGGTCAAACAAATTGGCATAGTTTTGGTATCACTTTTTACCACCTCGTTTTAGGCACTTGTAAAATTTCTGAATTTCTAATTGTTTAAGACAGACGGGAACGCAGGCCAATAAAGCGGCTGATGCGACAAGAGCATACATCGAAAGACAAATCATTTTTTCATTGATTTTGCCTTTAATCAGCTGGTTCTAATACAAAAAAGAGAAAAACAGCGATGATTCTGTCTCCTGAAAAAAATATAACGCCATAAATATAAAAAAATCTTTATATAATTAAAATAATTTCTTAACAAAATAACATACCCTTATTTGTATTGACAATATGCCACTTCGTCACATTTAAAAAAAAATCTTCTCAACAAAGCTAACCATATTTGTTGGGATTGGTTTAGATTAATTATATTTAGATATTTTTAGTATCTCACGTAAAATTTGTTACTCTCCCCGACCAGAAGTTTTAAGCCTTTGACATATTGTGTCAATTTTAGAAGTTGCTTATTCTTTAATTTTTGCTAAGGTAATTTTGGTGATATAGAAAAATAAGCATAAACTAATCTTGATAGTTTTAAACTTATTTATAATACATCTTACTTTATTGACCGTTTAAAATCACTAAGTTTTGAACTAATCTTCTGGCCATTTTGTTGCGTGAGGTTGAGTAAATAATAAGAATGAACCTCTGCAGAATTAAAAAAATAGGCAATCTTCTATTTATTGTATATCAACTGTCATATTTGATAGTGTCTTGTTTCCATTTTCGTCAACGAAATATTTTAATATATTTTCCAACATAATATTCGACGATAAATATATGTAGGCTCTTAAGAATGTACATACATCACGATTGCCACTTGGAAATGTAAAATTACAAGGTTACCAATGAAAATACGTTCGCTAATTATTTTGACTCTCGTCGTGTCTTCGTGTGCATTTCCATCCCAGAAAAGGCAATCGGAAGGTGAAGACCATCACATAGGAGAATTGCAAGCAAGGGATAACAGAATCAGACAAAAACCTCGAGATTGCAAATCTAAGTGTGCGTCAAGTATAGCGCAAAAAGCAGCAGCAGAAGCGAAAGCAGCTCAAGCGGCTCAAAACGCCGCCGGGGCTCAAGCATCTCACATGGTAAATCATTCAGAAAATTTCATAAATCGCACAGTTGTGTTGTGCGAACTATATGATCTTTTTTAAATTACCCGTTTATTATTATAGGTAAAGACTCAACTAGCAGAAAAAGCTCTGCAAGCGGCAAAAGCAGCAGAAGCAGCACTTGCCGGAAAACAAGCTGTTGTTGAACAATTACAGCAAGAAGTTAAGGAAGCTGAAGCTGTTGTTGCAGAAAACACAGCTTCAGTACATCAAAATCAAGGAGCTTTGAACCTAGGTCAACAAGCAGCGCAACAGGCTGCTGCACAGGTATACAATCTTAATTTTATAGTATTTTCAAACATTGTAATCCCAACTGTCTCTTCAACAATTTCTACCCAGTTAGTGGTTTCGAAGAATAAAGTTATACGAAGTTGCAACACAGGGTTGCGTAGAATGGTTTAATTTTTATAGTTACTTACATTAAGTATTTGGTTTAGTAATTGTTGAAGACAATTAACCCTGGTGCAATATTAACTTCGTAAAACTATGTTTTTCTTTTTTCTAAGGAGCTGGGAAGTGGGAAACAAGAGTTGGAGAATAAGAAGAATTTAAATTTAAAAGAAGCATAGAATAATAATCGTCATTATGATTTGCATGTCTCTGTATACTTTTATAGCAGCAGCATCTGTTTTATCTTGTACGCCTATTTTAGTACGAAAGTTCAATCCAAAGAAATATTTAGCTTGTTTTGCTTGCTGTGGGAAGAAAAAATAATGTTTAAATTAATGATGGAAATAAGTAAAAATTGTTTGTTGAAATAAAAAGAAATTTGTCTGATTATTTTGTCTCATTCACCTCAGTAATCAAGATTATTATTTTTAACAGCACAAGCTTTTGCAACAAGCAGCACAACTTGCAGCTCAATTAGAGAAGGCAGCGAATGGACTTCTCGAGAAACTAAAAACTGGTGTGCAAGAAAAATGTCATAATTTAGCTGAATCCCGAGCAAGATTAGCTCATCTTCAACATAAGCTACAATGTGCTTGCGCTGAATGCGCAGCAACAAAACAAGCTGCACATAGCGCTTGTGAAGCTGCTAGAGCTGCTTGTGGTAATGCAAGAAAAAAGAAACATGTAATCGCTAAGAGAAATGATCTGATACCGAAAATATCTAAACATGGACGATGATAAACTAAGAAGCACTATACTGTATATAATAAATGCTAAGGAGTGATAGTTTGAAATGAACATAGCGAACAAATTTTCGAGGATACGTTTCCGGTGTTAGTGATAATCTTTCAATCATGGTTCATTCTATGAATTTGGTAAGGTTGATAAAGATGTGATACAAGATACTGAAAATTCAGCACTATTTTTTTGACGTGTAAAAATCGGAATATTAAATGTTTTAGAATAGTTCTGTATACTCCAGTTTTGCATGCGCATGTGTTAAGATTTTTGATAGAATTAGATTATTTTAAGCTTCTGATAAATATAGTATTAGATTATGGTATTGATGGTATTTTATTATATAGAAATAATATTCAATACAGTTTAGTGTTATTTATTTTTTATCAATTATACTAAAAGCATCATTTAGATTTTGAGGACTAAATGCTATATTACTATTTTTATAATTAACATACGGAGATATAGTTGCTGAAGCAGATACGTCAGGGTCTACGTAACCTATATCCGAAGAAATATCATCTTCATATGGATTGTCTTCGGAGTAGCTTTTGTGCACAATTCTTGCTGGTGGTTCTGCGTACTGACCTCCTACCACTACTTCTTCTGCTTCAGTTTTTGGTTTCATTATTCTCTTGGGTTTGGTGGAAATATTATCATCAATAAAGTACGGCTGTCTTCTTCTTTCATATACATTATGTTCTTCCTCAGCGGTTGGGAGACCTCTGTTTTTGAATTCTACATATGCGTTTACGTCGTCGTCGGGTAAGGATACATCAAATTGTGTTTTAAAAATTGGTTGTTTGTTGGTAAAATCTAAGTTTGTATCCAAGTCTAAGTTATTCGTCCAACGTTTATTGTCTAGGTCAAAAGCTTGTTGCGTTTCAAGGCCCATTGGGCTAAAATCTTGCAATTGATACAAATTATATGCGGCTTTAGATAGTCCGGGAAAATCCGATGGTGGTTCTGCAAATGATTGCTTTAGGTTACTGTACTCTTGGTAAAAGTCATTTGGCGGTTCTCCAAATCCAACAGGTTCTGATGATGAAAACAATTGTTGATATTTTTTTGGAAGTCCATAAATAGGTTTTTGGCTATACTGCGGAGGTCCATATCTTGGTTTATATGGTCGTTTCTTTCGTGTAGGTGGTCCATACTTTGGTGGTCCATACTGTGGTGGTCCATACTTTGGTGGTGTTTTCTTATATTTTTTTAGAGGTCGTCTTGATGGTTTCACGTATCTATACTTCGTTCTAGGTGGTCCATATTTCGGTTTAGTATTATGTCTTTGGTGGGATATTCTACGATATACCACGCTGGGTTTACTATTATATATCGGCTCTACAGGAAAATTATCATACAGAACAATAGTTTCACGCTTTCTTATGTTATGTATTTTTGACTTCGTTAATTCCCGATTTTCTTCATACTCTTGTGCAAGTGATGCAGTAACGACTACCTGAAAAGAAAATAAATAAATAAATATCTTAGCAATAGTAGGCATATTATAATGGTATCATTATCACACTTTCTACAAATTTCGAGGATTCGAGGAGTCAGGAGGCCATCACCAAGAGGCGACTAACATCTTACTACTAACATTTAGCAATAAGTAAATACCATTATACCAACAACATTTTCAATGGAACTTAAGGATATGGAAATAAAAAAGACTATTATTATTATTATTATGCTCATGATATTGGAAGAGTTTAAGGTACAATTATTAATATGTTTACCTCGGACTTTGTAAATATGTATAATATAAAAATTCGCCTTAAAAATTATTTCGTGTACTAAACGATAGTGTAGTAGAAAGTTCGCTATTTGCTTAGAAACCTAATGCACCATTAACCACTTTTCAATGTTGGGCGTCAGTCTATTTCATGATTTGTTTATTTAACAAAATAAGCTACCATAAAGCTCCGTACTCCCATTCGGTATTGCTCGATAGTTTTACTCCAAAACGAGTAAATATTAATGTGTGATCCGCAAAATTAACAGCTCGAAGGCGCGAAAAACAGCCACGTAAGCCCATGCCATGGTTTTTACTCGACATGATAGCTCGATCGAACAAAACCGTATGTGACTTCGGAGCTTTAAAAATTACTCCAATGCGGTAACTATTTACATTTATATTTTTTTTACATAGAAAAAAAAACAACATAAAATGGTATTAGATTAAAATATTTACAAAAACACTATTTCTTAGAGTATACTTATCGTATAATAAAACGCGTCTTTTAATCTATGCAGCCATTAATGTATCAAACAGATACTTGCCTATTTGCGAATCTAACAAAATATATTTAATAGAAAATACTTAATAATACTATTTTTAAGTATAATATTGCACTTGCACAATTATTAAAGGTTATAAATTATCATATATTATAAAAATATTGTGTCTAAGAAACGTTTAAAACGTTTGCTCTCAGATGCGCTTATTTTTAGAATAAACGAGAATAAGGAATATTAAATAGGCTTATGATTTCTCTTTACGGCTTAAAGTTATTAGTATCTTTAGAAAATACCTGATGACATTTTAAGTGATATTCGTTGCGACGGAAGTAAGGAAATTACTCAAAGTTCAATGGCTGACTGCTATACCACAAAGCTAACTGTTCATAACTAGTTTCCTATTACCTAAATAACAATAAACTGAACAAAATGAAAATATGAATAGAATAAAAATACAAAGACATGCACTTATTCGATACATGCGGTTTAATTATATTGTTTTTAACTGTACTAGAACAAGGCGTTTAATATAAGTTTTTAGGCAGTTGATCCGAGTTGTGTTGATATTACCTATTACTTGATACGGTTCAATCCCAACCCTGCTAGCTGTATTGAATTGTGTTAACCGTAATAAAGTTAGATATGTCATTGTTTTTAGTTGTAATTTCTGCTGTGATTGGCTGCTTTAATTGCTAATCAATTATCAACCACAATAAATAACGGTAACTATATGTGCTTTTTGCGCAAGTCTATTGAGAAAATGCGAAGTATTTTCATATCAATTATATTCGTTTAAAACAATGACTTCAAATTATAAAATAAGTTTAAAAAGTTATTGTTTTGTTTTTAAAATCGGTGATGTATTAATTATCAACAAAATGAAAGTTTTAAACTGACATCACTTGAATTTAACTCTAGACTCCAAATTCTTCTTGTTACATATTATGGTCAATTGTTCTGTACGACTGTCAAGAGTGGACAATAAAAAAGACGTTCGGGCGCTTAGAAGCACCGATGTACTATCGTTGCATGCTTACAAAGCAGCTTAAGAGCCCGTATAAATGTGTTAGTAGAAGGAAAAAGTAATGGCTGGGTACCGTACGGAAGTGAATAGGTTCGACTGCCGAAGAGTTGCTTACTTGTTGCGTTGCGGCCCACAGTAATTCAGAAGCACAAGATGAATATTACAGAATTAATTAAATTTAGTATTGAGTAACAGGATTATGTATATTAATAGCAAGAGTCGGTAATATAATTTTAAAAAATACGTCGGTTAGAAGTATAGTCACGTTCAAGAACGCGGCCGTTCTATGATTTATTGATCAGGTGTTTTAATTGACAACTTTCAATAGTGTTTCATACATTTTAATGAAGAATACATTTTACCGAACAGGAAATTCATCTTCCATAAAGTGTCATGCAGCGAGCGGTGATCACCTGTTTACCTATAAAAAAACAATGAAACGAATGCAGAAATTTAAAGCCAAAAGGATTTTAAAGCCTATGGAAATTTGCTTCTCTGTAAAGCAATCACTATTAAAAATTACATAAAATAAAAAATAAAATACATCAGTGGCGCTACAACCTTTTTTTTAAGACCGGGCCTCAGATTTCTGTATCTGTTCCATCATCATTTGTAAATGTAATAGTCAAGTAGGTGATCAGCTTCCTGTGCCTGACGCACGCAATCGACTTTTTGGGTCTAAGGCAAGCCCGTTTTCTCACGATGTTATCCTTCACCGTACGAGCAAATGTTAAATGTGCACATAGAAAGAAAGAAATGGTGCACAGCCAAGAGTCGAATCTGCGATCTCAGGGATAAGAGTCGCATGCTGAATCCACAAGTCCAACACTGTTCTAATTAATAAATACATATTAGTAATTACATACTACATTAAAAGACAGCTAAGTTACAAAGATCAACACCAACATTGAATAAAGTTTGAGGTTTGCGAAAGGAGAAATTTGTTGAAAGCCGTAACCTAACCTGCACGCGGTGAACTAGATTTTAAATATCAAGTTCATATCTAGGAGACATAACAGGGCTATAACAATAATAAAAAAGCCATTTTAGGAGACTTTCTTTACGTGATCGTGCAAACCATTGTGATCTGCAAAGTTCACATAAGTTTTATATAAAATCTGAAACTAATGCTATTAACTCAAACTCAAACTCAAAATATCTTTATTCATGTAGGTAAACAAGTACACTTATGAATTGTCAAGTTAAATTAATTGTAAATTTACATTTACTACCAGTTCGCAAGTTAAGGGCGTAGAGCGGGTAACAAAAAACATCGGATATAAAAAAAATTCTCCAGATATTTTGCAACTCACTCGGGTCCTTACGTTTGCTTTAATGTACTGGTAACCATGGATATGATTCAGAGTCAAGACTTAGTGCTTAGTATGTGCTAAGGAGGCATATGTATCGACTCTTAATATCTTATAATGCCCTATAAGCTTTGCGAGGGAACAAATTCCACTTCTAACACATTCGTCAAAAACAATATAAACAACAATAATAAATTGTATATTAGAAATCGTTTTCTTTTATAATACACTATGGTGTTAAAATCAAGGAAGCTTGAATAAAAATTGTATTCAATGGCACATTAGCCACAGGTCCAAATGATTATTTTATTTCATTTATTTATAAAAACACTCTTGCCCTAACAGGCGACCCTAAATTGACAAAAGTGAACAATAAGTGAATAAAATTTACAGACGAAACAAACATACGATTAATATGGAAAAACGAAATTACGTAATAAAAAATACAAGAAATTAACTAACTACTATAGGCTCTAACAAATACACTTTTGCCAGTTAACTCAACGGACAATGAAAAAGGTCCGTTAACTTATGTAATTCGTTAACTAAATTAATACACCGAATCATATGTGCCCTTTTCGATCGATCGCACGATACACATGCAGTAACGGCGGACGATGTTTCGTCTTTCTGACGTACCCATCAGGTTGAACATTGAAGCTAAGGTACTGAAGTACTACCGAATTACTGTCCATGCCATGTAACAAATTTATGAAGTACATCACAAGCGCGAATTCTCGGCGTACTCTTAGCTCGTTGAAGCCCACAGAACCAAGTATAAATAAGGTCGGATACATGAGTGGGTAAAAAGGGTACACACTATGATGTAACTAAAATACTGTTAAATTCTTATCAAAGACGTCGACGTATCTTACGGGGATTTAAAATAACTGTCAGAACTAGTAGGTGTTGTTAAAAATTTATGTTACTTAAAAATTCTTCTAAAATACTTATACGTCGTTAATATTTAATTCTTACTTTCCATAACGAAACGATACTTGTTTCACGAGAATGAAAGTGTCGGCTATCAGACGAAATAATTAACAGAAAAAGTCTTAATATTTTAGAAGACCTATTAAGATTTGATGTTTTATTTGTTTTTAGATAGTGAAAGATACGTGTCGCACGCAACATTCTTTTGCTTGACAGCTAATATTACCGTTTATCGCATACTATGGAAAGTAAGGATTTTGTGATTTATGATTTTTACGCACGTGGAAAAGTCAGAGAAAGATATCGTACTCTATCTAGAAATGTTTACTACTTTTTAACGAAAACGTCAGGAAAATGTGCAGCGTTTTTGTCGAAGAAAAGGGAGATAGCGATTGAGACCGATTAAGAGACAGTGAGAAGGGCGAATTACCTTATAGAAATTCTTTTTTTAAAGTTAAAATTTCGTAAAGAGAATTTATGAAATATTAGTATTTTATATTTTATGCAAAATAATTTATTGAAATCTCAAATGCAAATTGTAAATTAAAATGATACATGTTATCGAAGAAATAAATTTATAATTTGTATTAATTTTAGACTTTAAGAATTTAATATTTTAATGTATCTTCCTTTTTCCCTCCCTCTAAGTCTCGGAAATCTAAAGTTTTAGATTTGTATAAATATGAACAATTTAAGTCTTAAACATTATTTTGCCAGAGAAGTTTCACTTCGGACATGTGTACTTTGTACGCACGCACATTTTTTTAAATCTTTGTTATCTTAACATACTACGAGTCTAGATCTAAATTGCTGTTAAATTCTTTGCTCTTTTCATTCTCTATCCCTTTGCAAGTAAGGTACGTGACTAAAACATGATTTAACTAAGCGTGAATTATGATATATTTAAAAAAAAGCGTTAAGATTTTATCTCTAAATAAGTAAAAACATGTTTTCATTAAAAAGATCCTAATATTAACAGTATTTAAAAGTGATCACCGATTTTCAGTCGGTCTAACGCAACAAGGAACAAATTAGTTCGAAAAACTATATAATCTTTCAATATATATTTAATAGTCTTCAAACAACACGATATACCTATATTTAAAACATATATATTATATATATTTTAAATGTCAGTTTATTATACAAAATATCTTACCAATAACGTCACGTAAAATATGTCGGTTAACTGCATTTTCACAAAAAACACGAAACCAAACACATAGTAAACAAACGAGTGTTATGTTTGAAAGTTGTAGATATAATGAGCTTGATACGGAATAGCTCGCGCCTACTAGTCTATGAAAAATATGGATTTATACTGAGCTGCTTATAAATAAAAGAATATGAATAAACATAAATCTTTATATGTGATTTAGAACTTCCTTTTTGCCAATTACAGCAATTTTGTTATAGTTCTATATTTTTAATAACATTTTAAGTATATTTTATAATTTTTACACAATTTCCTATAAGGAAATAGGAAATTTTTCAGAATCAGCGCCCATAATTCAACTTCCACTAACGACAGCGATTTTTTTGGACTGGTTGTTGTGAAGAACCTTGACAGCTCAGTTCGGGCTGTTTTGTTTTTATTTTATTTAGTAGGAGACAAACGGGCAGGAGGCTCACCTGATGTTAAGTGATACCGCTGCCCATGGACACTCACATTGCCAGAAGGCTCGCAAGTGTGATGCCGGCCTTCTAAGACTTGGTATGCTCTTTTCTTGACACTAAGTCGAATTGGTTCGAAACTACTTCAGTGGGCTGCTGGTACCACATAGTGGTGGTGCGCGACAAAAACTGCTTTAAGAAACGCTCAGTTGTGGAACGACGGACGTCGAGGTGACACGGATGGTATTTTGTATTCTGCGTTGACGTCCGGTGAAACTCAGCTGCAGGTATTAGTCCGAAAACTCCTTTGAACACTCTCGATGGTAAATGCGGTAGAAGATGCAGAGAGACCCCACATCTCTACGCATCGCCAAGGGATCGTAGCTCTGCCGGAACGATACCGATCCTGATGTTTTTCTATGCAATTTCAATGTAGTTCTCTCAATAGCCATAGCGCTGACGTCACAACCTAACGATCGCACGATACAGAAACTGTCACTAAAATCGGGATAAGGTAAACGGTTGTTACTATAGTAGATAAATTGTTGTTGACCTTCATACTGATGAAATATAATACGCATTGGTGAAATTCCAAACAAACCTACCTAAATGATATCATAAAACACAAACTATTAAAATTTATAAGACTAACCGGGCACATTATGGTATGTTTTCTTTTAAAACTAAAATAAATACTGATTACCGTTGTGCTACATTTTCTATAACATTTATAATATATTAACATCTCTATATAAGATCTGAATAAAGATGTACATCGCTCTCACATCTAATTTATTCATTATTCAAACAAAAGATCATTGAATATTAGGCCTATTATAAGAACAGGTACAAAAGGTATCAATTACTTAGTGTTATGTAATATGTAATTCATATAGAAAGTGAGATTTAAAATGAACCTACATTTCAGTTTGATCCGTGACCACGGTTTCAATTTAAGGGTAAATGTATATTATGCACACCGGAAAGTCTATCAAAATGTAGTGCTGATAACCGTTATTCTGCTGCGCTTACAAATCACTGCGAGATGTCACAGCCTGAAACGCGCTACAAATTTATCCCAGCCGCTCAGGAAATAATGTTGCACATTTGGACCTTAGCCACTGGGGTCTTCGGACGGCAAGTTAGTGGTTAGACTGGTCGAGGATGCTCCCTTGAGGTTGGAGAAAGCACACAACATCCTTCTTTACAAACATACTAGTGGACCCCACAGACGTTGTCCTGCATGATATTTAAAGCGATTAGGATATTAAGCAAAGTATGAAAGTACCGACTTGGGGGCCTTTTTTCCCGCGGGTTTTGGGGATAAAAAAAATCCCCGACCCCCCCTAAAAAAAAAAAAAAAATTTAAAAAAAAGGGTTCATTTGTTTGGGGGGGGGGGGGGGGAAAAAAAAAACAAAAGAGGAAAAAAAAAAAAAATATTACAACAGCGCTTAATGTATGACTGGCTGTAGTCCGTGCTTTAAACGTGCGGAAACGAGAAAAAATATATTATCACATTAAAGGAGCATGATGTAATGGTTACAAACATTTTGAAAAAAAAAAACCTTAAAGTCTTAAAAGTGACGGAAAGTTTATTGCCAGTTCTTCTCGGCTCTACACCCTTTATTTGAGAACTGAGAGTAAATGTACATTTAGAACCATTAATTTTTTTTACTGACGTTCGACTTGTATATATGTCGTGGCCATATCCTAGATTTGCTCACTTCATGAAATGCTCGAGAATTTCATGAAATGGTCGTATTTCATGATGTGGGCAACTTAATTTGACCAGACCATTAAATCGTCAACATTTCACGATTTTTTCATCCACATTTGGCCGGATCGTATAAATAGGGTGTCCATAAAATATTTAATAAAAATCCAGAATATGTTAAGAACTTGTTTATTGTTATTTAAGTCCGACTGATACAAACAAAATTAATTAAATTTTTGTAACAAAATTAAACATCAAACACGTCATGTTACACAATTATTTTTAGAAAACAAACAAAATTTAGAAAAAGTAGGTACTTTGGTACATAGTTACAAATAGTAATATGTATAATAATTCACATGGAATGCACAATAAATGAATAAAAATTTAAAAAGTCAGTGTTACAACCTTTCAGTCATTTGTTGGCGCATGACAAACTTTGGTGACACTTTAAAGTACAAAGTGTTTTGTTCTTGAAACATGCATCTCTTTGTACGGCATTGGTTTTTTGCTGGCTTACAAAAGCATTTTTAAAGCCTTGACCTCCAAACAAAGATTGGAAATTTACAGCTTCCCTCAATGAATTGGCAATTCTGATATAATCGCAATAATCTTTAGACGACACCTGTAGGTCTTGCCGAGAAAACCAATTTTTAATTGTTCCAGAACCCAATTATGCGGTGGTAAGAAGAGTTTTTATAGAATTGAACAAAAAAAACAACCAATAGACCATTTAGTAGACTTATTATCTTGCATCCAACACCGCAACATATTTTCTACGTCTTGGTTGGATCTTTCCACGCTGCCCTGTGTTTGAGGACGTCGAGGACTACCGTGAATAATTTTGCATTCAGGCCACATCGACACCAATTCTTCTATGACAGCGCGGTGAACTCTCTTCCATTATCACTCTGTAATATAAACGGAGCGCCAAATTCCAAGAATATTTTTAAAAGTTCCAAGGCACTTTGCAGCTCTTTTCGACTTTAGAGGTCTGAGGTGTAAAAATTTTGTGGCATGATCTTGGTAATTCATAAGCCATTTAAATTCTCCATCCGCGGCAGACTGTAAATCTATTAAATCCACCTGCCCTCGTGTGTTAAAATCTTTAGAAATTATCGGCTGAGTTACTATACCTTTCTTTGGCACTGCACGTTTCTTCTGACAAACAGAGCACAGGTCAACGAATAGCTCGATGGGTTTCTTCGGAATATAAAGCCTATTTTTAATGTGTTGAATAATTTTTAATCGTCCACCATGTCCAACAGTTATATGTACTTCCTTTAATATTTCAAAATACTTCTCCATCGGAATTATGCGAATCGTATGATCGTCGACGCATTTTTCTTGAATATAAGATATTCCTCATTCGCAGTTTCCAAAAATCATATTTTGAAAACCAGTAATAGTCTATGGACTTATTTTGCGTAGTCACCCTACTCTCCTTAATTTGTTTCATAACCTATAAAAGGAAAAAAACATTAACTTTAATAGGTCATAATTCACAAACTTACATAATATCAATTAATACACAAACGTTAGCGGCATAGAGTATTTTGATAAAATAAGTGAATATTTATGTAATTTAAGAGTAAAATACTAACCTGTGAAATGCGATCCAAACTCCACGGTTTACATTTTGCTCAGTTTTTGCGTGACTTGCATAGTACTCGAGAACCTTTTCATCGTAAACTCTTTTACTATCACTTTCTTCGTCATTTATTAACGAATTATTCACTTTTTCACTGCGAGAAACAACATTATCGACAGCGGCCGCCATCTTCACACATAAACAAAGCGTTTCAGCCTCTACCGGTAATTAATGTAACTACTTTACGAATGATCAAAAATTGACCATTTCATGAAGAAGCCCGCGTTTAGTTGCCCATATCGAGAAACGATTTCTTATCATTGATCTGCCCAAACCACATCACGATGTAGCCAATAGACAATGAAACATTTCATGAAATGTAACCATTTCATGAAATTCTCGAACATCTCATGAATTGAGCTAATCTACGATATGGCCCGACATATATACATTATACATTAAGTTAGCTACATGAATTAATGATAATTTGATTTGTTTTTACTATACTCTAAGAGCAGTGTTGGCCAGTTCAGCGTGTGACTCTCTTCCCTGAAGTTGTAGGTTCGATCCCCGGCTGTGCACCAATGGACTTACTGTTTATGTGACGGTGAAGGAAAACGTCGTGAAGAAACCGGCTAGCCCAAAAAGTCGACGGCGTGTGTCAGGCACAGAAGGCTGATCACCTGCTTGTTTATTAGTTATTCTTAATCAGGATCGGCACGTTTGAGGTGAAGAGAAACAAACTTGGTATTATTTATGTCGACCATTCTTTCTAATATTTATATAAAACCCTGAAACCAAAGGTTGAAACCTGAAAACGAAGGCTGTTGTTATGTTACTGACTTTTTATGTATAGGTACTAGGTAGCCCAGAAACTAAGCTAATCACATTTAATCGCCTAGATCACAGCAATCCACTCAGATGAGTCACCTATTTTTGCGCACAAATGAAAGTTAAATGATGTGACAAATTAAAATTTCACGGTATTCGCATTTGGAAAAACTAATATGTTTTTAAACACCGAAAGTTGCATTATTAGTGAATGGTTTTTTAGTAGTCTATTGTGGTAAATTAAGGTAGTTGATAATTGCTATTACTTTAAAAGCCGTATGCGTCACGTGATGCGGATTAATGATAAATTATTATATTTAAGTTTACAATATTTATATATTGAAGATACTATAAATATACCACATGTGTAACTGTTACACTAAAACAGAGACATCTTGTGTTAAATATTAAAACTAAACACAGGCAGCTACTGATACTGTATCTGATTACTTACATAGTTTCATTATATTCTAATAGATGTCGCTGCTTCAGAAATTGATGAATTTTTAATACACCAACATAAAATTTGAAAGTGTATAAAATAAAACTTATGATACAATTTGAAATATTCGATGATGCTTATCATAAAGAATTATTCTTTTTATTTAAGATTAACTATATATCTTTTTTATATAAATATTCTTAATAGGCTTGATATCGTATAATTCTACTAGATGGCACTGTTACAAACATTATTGTTACTCACGGTAAAGGCAACATTTTTAGGAAACTAAAAAACCTAACCCCTTTATTCCTTAAATTTAAACATGTGTTTACGCCATGATAAAAAGAGAATGAGTAATAATGACTTTAGTTAAAACGGTACTATTAGACTGATTTATTTTTTATGACAAAATTTTTCCTTTTTGGTTGATGTAGTAATAATAATATTTAACTTAAGCATTTCAGCATTGGGTTTAATAAAATATATAAACACTAGTGGACCCCACAGACGTTGTCCTGCATGATATTTAAAGCGATTAGGATATTAAGCAAAGTATGAAAGTACCGACTGCAGTGCCATCTGCCGGGCTGATTTGTGAATCTAAACCATTCCCAGATCCCCTTGAACACACACAAAAAATTTCATCAAAATTGGTCCAGTCGTTTAGGAGGAGTTCAGTCACATACACACGCACACAAGAAATATATATATTAAGATTTTCAGAAGACTTTTAACATGTTATATTAAACACGGTGACTTAAATAATGAATACTTTAGAAACATAGGCGACAGGGCATAATATTACTCATATGTTCTCTGAGAGTGTGGTGACAGCAAGGAAAGCTTTAACACAAAATTATTTCAACCATAATGAATGAAATGCATTGAGATTAAGATTCTGTTTTTTTTCTTTTTCGTATTACAAACTATAAATATTTGACATGTTTAACTTCTTGTTGTAAAAAAAAAACTATTGAAGATTTGTAATTTGCCTATAATGGTGTATATCTATTTCTGTATTGTGCTGTGAATTTTCTGAATAAATAAATAAATATTTAATATTTCTTAATACATTCACAAAAATTAAACTCATCATCAGTGGCTTGAAAAATTTATTTAATTTCTTTATTTTACATAATTACGCTAAACTAAAATAAATACAGAATTCTATTTTACTTGGATAAGTATAAATATTAATAATACATACGTAAAGCGCCTTATCTATTTATTTACAATTTTCAAAGAATTTTTATTTAAACAATTCTCGGTGAATGAGTGGAGTTTGAATATTTGGTCCATGACAACAGATTCATAAAAATATATATTGTCAAAAAAAAAGGAGAAAAATTAATTTCTAATACAAAATCTTGGATTTTATACCATTCCGTTTGTATAAAATAAATATAGCATAATTTTATGCTCGATTTAATTTGCGGCTTCAGTTTGGAAAAAAAATGTTGTCATAGGAATAGGGAATAACTGAATGTGCTTTTAATTTTATCTTACATCTAATTTTATATAATTTAAGTTTGCAATAAATAACAAATTGAGTGGAACTCGAAATGGAAGATAAATTCGTTAAAATGACTCGAACGATACACTAATTTTCACCCGTACTCACAACACTTATGGAATATACAATGAGAAGACTGGATACAGGGACTTAATAGAGGTGTAGCGAATCGTAGATACGCACTAAAAATGTACATACTCTTTTGTGTAGTATTTTCTCTAGGATTTTGATGTATGTGTTAACATAAAGATAGGACACTAAGGAAAGAAGAAAACAGACGTCACTCAGACGGACTTTGAAGACAAGTGAATATATATGTTTTTCTTCCTTGAGCGTTTCTATGTGAATATAAATTAATTACTCTTGTTTGTGAAGAATAAACCAATTAACAAAGATAAAAATGGGTTGTGATTTATTTCAAGATAGCACATCCCATAGAGCGTTGCCTTTTTAAATTAAACAATCTCAATATATATTACGATTATAACTAACAGTATCCACACAATATGTTCTATTTCGTAAACACAAATCTTTGTAAGGAAATCCACAATTAAAACGCATCTCGCATTACAATTCCAACTATTTATTTTGAATTTACAATTTTATTAAACGGTATTGGATACAATGATTAAAAATGTTTTCGAATCTAGCAATGTATAAAATACTTCTTTTGTCGTAAAGGAAATTAGCAACGCACTATAAAATCTCATCTGCTTATGCAATATTCAAATTGCTATGAAAATACTGTATAGTATGGTTAAACCTATATGTATATACAAATTCACTTTAACAGATAAGTTTCATTAATTAATTTCATTGGGTTTAATAATATACGCCTTTATATTTAAGGCCAAAAGTTTAGAAAGTTCCGGAAGTGACATAATAAGTTTAGCTTAAATCTAATTCGTCGGAAGATTCGCCAAGCCAACGCGTCACTGCAGCAATGCAAATAAATTTTTTACAATTAGTATAAGAAACTTGTGATATAAATGTTAACGATAGACGGAAAAAAAATTATTAGCTTAATTTAGCCTTAACGACTCATTAAACTTCTTCTATGGAATACTGAAGTTGTAATCATAAATATACAATTTAAATATGTTCCGTTACAAAGTATAATTTATGAAGGCACGCGTGTATTTACAAGTGCGTTGTCAATGCGTTGGCGAGGCCATGTTAGTTTCTCTATAAACATAAAAAATGCTAAATTCACACAAATATATGTATTTGATTCACTCTATGTATAGAAACCCTTTCCTATATCGCGCTTAACGAAGTTTTTGTGATTTTAGTAAATATGTAATAAACCCCATATAACTTAGTATTTTTTAATAATTTGGAAAATGGTATAAGGATAGTAACGGTGCGTCGTAGTAAAACATTATAAAACATTTTTCTTTTACATTTATAGAGATATTCACAATTTTCATGCACTAAACGTTTATGTTCAAGCGGAGAAAACTATTATATTTGAGCTTTAAACTCATTAACACTAAAAGCTAAAGCATACAAAAATATATAAAATATTTACATAATACAAACTAAACGTGTCTTTTGCGTAGCGAGAACACACTTTATACTAGGAATATTTATAAAATTGTTTTATTTCTTCACTTTATAATAAATATATTATGTACATACATGGGAGGACCCTGTTTTTGTCGGTATTTTTAATGAAATTGATAGATTTTTATTTATTTCATTAAAACTATAGATACACAGGCACATCACGACATGGTAACAAACCCCAATCTTACATCTCCCGATATGAGTTACTTAAACACATTAAGGTATTTTTTTAAACGTATAGAAAAAAACATATTTCAGTATTATTTCATAGATTTTATTCCACCTCAAAGGCCCTAGTTCAAGTTTGTAATATACGAAAACGATTGCTTTTTGATGTTTTAGTTGCAAATTATTTGCATCATGACATAAAATTAATCTATACAAATACAAATGAATGACATTTTTTTTTATTTATTCCTTGAACTCTGAGAAAGGTTTATGGAGAGATGATGAAAATATAAAAATTAAGTTTTATTTAGTACTAAAATGTTTTTATTCCGTAAAAGTCTAGAAATAGAATAGTGTATATGGGGTAGGATAATAAAATGTTACATATATTGGTATGTAGCTACTAAAAAGGTAGACCAAGTAAAAAATCTAATTAAGGAGGAACGCAGCTCGGAGGGACAGCTAGCGTGATATATAATTTATATCTACAATGTTTTATTTTTCTATGAAATATTTCACGATTCACTTTAATTGCTTTCGACAACTCGTTAAATATTGCACAAACCCTCTATGGATTTATAATTGTGAGGTTCTAGTCACACGCCATCTAAAATAATCTTGTTCAAGAAACTCATACCAGGACTACATCAATGTGGAAGAACTCAAAACGCGACACGATCTTTGGTGATTCCAAGCACGTATTACAAAGCTCACTGCGTGGCCTCAGCTGTGTGGTAGTGGGATGGATAACGCCAGACCTGGGGTGGGGAGTACTCCACCGGGACTTCTTGAGCTGCCCCACCGGCTCCCCACATCAACACCGTCTGCCGGGGCATCTCGGGGGCTGTCTGCATCCTCTCCTGCTCTGTGGACCCGCTGGAACCTCCCGGACTCGGTCCCGGAACTACACTGGGAGATCGCCGCTCACCGGTCACGGGACTCATATACCGCCCGGTGCTATCCACGTACGTGTATTCCCTTGATGGAGGTCGGTACGTGGTCACGTCGTACCCTGGAGGTTCAAGGAAACCGTTGGGGGTGTAAGGTGTATAGTGGTAGGATAGAGGTTTGTATTGGTGGAAGAGGTTATCGGCTGAGAGGAACCTGTCGTCTAAAGGAGGGGCGTAGTGGAGGGTCGGCGCCGGCGGGTATTCCCCGTAAGGGGCTGTGTAGGCCCCGTTCAGGTTCGTATAGGCCGCGACCGCATCGGCTGCGAGATAGTCTACAGGTGGCGGGGCCGGCGTGGTGGGAACCCGCCGTTTATTTCTGCAGGTGGAAAGGAAATCTCGGAGCTGGGTTTTGTATCGGCGGGCGGCGCGCGGTGGCGTCGTTACAGTGGACTCGTTCGAGAGTTGTTCGGTTTCAGAGAAATAGAGACTGGTCAGACCAGTGTCTAGGTAGCTCACTTTAAAGTCCATAGTACGTTTGCCCAAGAGATCACGACCTTCCTCCTCCCTGAAAATTTATACAATCCTATAAAATACATCTTTGAAATGCTAGAAATTTCTAACAGTAATAGTGAATAGTAATTAATGTTTCGCTAATAACCAATTCGCTTCTAAAACTTCCTTTATCTTGGTACTTTTAGCTGTTGGTAACTCACAGCACGAAAGTTTACGTTCGATTGCCAACGAAGCAATAGGTTTAATAAACATCGCATTATTATTATAATACTCCCCAAATGGGTAATCCTATTTGATTTTTTAAAAATAAAATATACTCACATTAAAGGCCTATGCGTGCTGATAACAAAATCCGGCTTCGAGTTCTTATATACAAGACGTGAAGACGTCTGCAGCCATTGCCACTGACCATCTTTCGTCTGAAACCTGTACGCGATCATGCCTGATGCTCCGGTTTTTAATACTGAAAAATCATATTTTTTTACATAACCATTATTGTATTAGCGCTAAGGTGAGCTTATGACTAAAGTAGAGGGTGCAAATCCGGGGTACCGACGGACTGTATTTTATACATGCAGTTAAAACAGTGAAATCTGGTATTTCTTAATGATGTGTTAAACTCGAAAAGGGAAATTAGTTGTGTATACGATAAAAAACAAGTACAAAAAAAGGGTTGTAGCGCCACTGGATATTGTATAAAAAACACATACTGGCGTTATCACTGTTTTGGTAAACGTTTTTAAGTAAGTACCATATGGTTGCATGGTAAAAAGCACTTACATTCTTGATGCGCACTCGCAACGTAAGCCAGGTCGTCGTAATGTACTAAGTCATAACCGCCCATATTTGCAAGCTCGGCATCTGTGTATCCTAGAAGCATTTTCCCTCTGAAACAAATTTGTTTAAGTAAACACTTATAGACATTTTGTTCTTAGTAAGGAGATTATTCAAATAAAAAAATATAGTATTTTTAACATTTCTGATACTTTCGCCACGTAAAATTTTTATGTTTATTGTTTCTACATATGACGTTTGTTATCTTTATATATATAATTCTTCTGTGAGTGTGTATGTCACTGAACTTCTCTCAAACGACTGGACCGATTTTGATGAAATTTTTTGTGTGTGTTCAAGGGGATCTGGGAATAGTTTAGATTCACAAATCAGCCCGGCAGATGGCACTGCAGTCGGTACTTTCATACTTTGCTTAATATCCTAATCGCTTTAAATATCATGCAGGACAACGTCTGTGGGGTCCACTAGTATCTATATATGAAATATGAATTTCAGCTGTACCAATTAATGTTTCTTTCAAAAATACTGGTGAATAAAAGATATCATCAGAAGAGCGTCTACGACTCAAAAATGGCTGTGTGCAAAGAAGGCGGCTCACCTATCTGCCTTTAAAGGAAAATAACCAATCTAACATAAATTTGCGGCTGAGACACGCAATAAATTATAGCGATTTTGGATTATCATTCTAAGCTCTTATCCCTATTAAAACTGCTATACCTATAGGTTTTAAAATATCGCGATTATTGAAGGTCCGGATATTAAATAACCACTCTATGTTTTTAAAAGTACTCCAAATCAAGGACGTCAAAGGTACATCTAAATTCAAATATTTTTTGTAAAGGTACAAAATAATATTCTCATAGTGGAAATATTGTTTACGTCTAACTATCCATAATGTTATTGGTCACGCCGCACGTATTTACCAATTATACATTTTGTATGGGATACGGTTTATTTCTATGTTCCGTATGCTCTTTTGTGGTCGGTGCTTTTTGTGGCTTGCGGTTGATACGTGAGACTCAAATGTAATATTAATTTTGACAGCAAATTTTCAAATATGGCATATGCAGGATATGCATATTAATCTGGAATAGCTATTCGAGAACGGGCACTTTCTCTATTTGTTATAACGCTTGCTTTGCAAAAAACATGACAAAGCTTTAGCTAATTGTTAAACAGTTTATTAAAAAAAACGGGTATTTAAAAAATCTTCAAAAACGTTTAGTTTTTTATAAATTTCTAAAGAATATTGTTTGCTTCCAGACTAACTATCGTGAATATAGTGAATATTACCGAAAATTATAATAATACAAGTAAACATTATTTATTTTAAATTTTTATATTATTAATAAATAGCTCAAGTCAGTTCATATAAGTACCTGTAGCAAAAATGCGATTACTGCGCATCTAATAACTCTGGTTAACTTATTTGCTAGGAATTAACCCTTAATGGGTACAAATATATTAAATATATAGCATACCTTTGATCCATTGAAACTAAAGCGAGATCTAACTTATGTTTGCTCTTGAACATTACTTCTTTTTGTGGTATTTCGAGTAAACTTGGAGGTCCGAACGGTGCGCATATTGCGAATAGTGCTAATGGCGGGTCTTCAGTTTTTTTATTCTGACCATGCAGTACCTTTATTCTTCCTCGGATGTCTAACCTCTGAAAACGATTTGAGTTTAGAATAAGAAGTTTAATCTCAAAATATCAAATGGTTTACCACTAATTTCTCATTGGAGTTCAAAATGTTTAACTAATTCCTGTCCAACTGGTATTTCAAACCTAAGTGACTCAAAAATAGACACATCTAAGTTCTACTTTTTATATATTAAATTATTTACTTACAAGAAATCCACTCGTATTATCCAGTAAACACCTAAACCGCACTGTAAAACTTCTTTCAAGTAGATGAGCCCTTTCAGGCCTCAAGACGTCTTGAAGGGTCAAATTATTGACTTCCGGCTGAAGAAAAGAATTCCATAAGAGCTGCCTCTGAAGCTCTTCCCGATCTTCGGAATGTACCAACTCGTACACCGATTGGTGGACAATATCTGACTGAAAATTAGATAATTAAGAATACTGAACTATCAAATAATATTTATACTTAAATAAAAACCGAGTAGTGATAAAGTAATATCTCGATGTGAGAATTAATAATAATCTATGATCATGGGATAACTCGGTTGATTAAATTACATACAATAAAGTTCTTAACCATTGCATAATCTGATTCAAAAACAATAAATCATCTATATAATCAAAATAACAAGATAATTATTTGATAAACCGTCTAAATAGTTATTCATCAGCGTAAAAAGAGCAAGTCATAACTGAACCGTAAATCAATAAACATCAATGACCCTAAAATCGATTTGAAACCGATCATTAAAGAATCATCTGTAACGAAGATGGATATGTTAATTTTAATACAAAAAATCTATTAACAACCTTGACCCCTTGACATACGGGTTATATTACTTAGAATATTGGTAAATGCCGATTTTAACACATCGTTCAACAATGTATAGTATAAACAGTGTGAATAATGCGCCGACAACAAATGATCCAAGTACAAAACTAATTGATAATCAATGGGGGGGTTGTGCAAGGCGCAAGTTTGGGTCCCCTAGTTTTCAACTGACATGTAAATGAATCATAAGCGTACCGAACGTAACCTAAGGCTAACATAGATAGTAAGGGTCCCGTAATGTTTGTATGTGGGTTCGAACATATTGCGATGGCATTAAATGTCAGAGGATGATGATTTGTTTCATAATTGGTTTTGGTTCAATATTTAGGGGTAGTCGTTAACTGTTGCAAAACTTTTGTTTATTGTTCCTGCAATTGTAATATTTTTTTATGGTTTTATTAATGGCTTTTTATGGGCAGAATACTTTCTTTCCAATGAACCGACTTAAAGGCATTAGGGTAATAATCTTGTTTTTCAATAAATATTAATACAAAATTGTTACTATATTGCTAACTTAAAATACATATACCTAATATAATGGAGGTACTTAAATAACAGCTACTCTCGCCGCTCTCAATTCAAAGTAAAAACAAATGTTATTCTGTATGGTATTTTCGTGAATATTTTAAAACAAAGGAGTAGTTATGGTCAGTTAATTCTAAGGGCCGGTGAACTATGCATTAGGGTGTAACGTAGTACGATCGATGGTGCCACCTGGTGAGACAGCTTGGTAATCTACCGACCCCTGCTCGAAACAGAGGGGTGCGAATTATAGTAATTTTTAAATAAACTTATTTTAGGGATCTTTTATAGGGCTATAATGGTATGGAAAGTTAAAAAAGCTCTACGTATTTCATTACTTAAACAGTAAACGCAGCTTGACTTAGCGGAGATTTTCCTTCCAACATAAAAAAGGGTGCGTGTACTTATGTACGCGCGTAAGAAGTTATACTTCTTTGGCATTATTAAAAATAGTTTTTGATTGCATGCAAATAATTAATTACAATTAAATAATCAAATACTGGAAAAGGAGTCATTATAGCAAATATAAAAGTTCAGTTTACATTTGAAAAATTAAATAAATAAATGTTTATTATTATTCTCTTACATTAAGTGTAACATAAATTCTATTATTATTCGAATGTTGTTTTTAAATTATGTCCAATGCCGTAGCATCTTCCATGGCCAACTTCATTCTGTTAATTTTGTGTCACGGTGCGGGCACATCGTAAAATTTCACTCTCATCAATTTTTCATAACGCGCCTAAAGAAGTATAACTTCAAAAATATACATGAAACTATTGGTATCAAAGTGTAATGCGATACTTTATTGAAACTAGAGGCACTGTATTAATTAGCTTAACTAAACACTTCCTTATTACACCTACATATAACACTTTTAGATTTAAGTTACATAAAGGTACTTAAGGGAACTTAATTGCTCGAAGTCGATTTGGCATTTGTCTCTCATTACTCAATGTCTTAAATGAAATCGATTCTAAATCGATACGGACATTCGAGGTTAATCAAAATCTATCGATTACTCGGCACGTGCCATGAGGAAGTATTCACCCGATTTAATGATTTCGAAATCGATTAACTTTAATCGCAACCCACCCCTACGTGGTGCATAGATTAAAATGTCACACAGATGCTCCATTAAAGCGTTGATGCCAAATGGGACCTGCTAAAAGTTGGCAAGCAAGAGAAAATCTTTGTAGTTATAATGTAGACTGTATGTAGTAAGTAGTAAGCCGCCCCTTAAATTTTTTTGAAAAATAGGCTTGACGTACTCAATATATTGCAAAATGTATAGGTGCTTTTTCAAAACAGGTTTTATTCTATTCTTTCTGTTTTACATAATTTTGATTGATGTAAGATAGAATCCATACAAAAGTTAATAACATGGACGTAAGTAGTGAACTTTTGAATAAATCGGCCTAGAATGAAGCCCTAATAGGATGAAGCTAATTGCTCTCTTGTTTAAATCAAAGTGTCTTAAAACGAATACATTATTTCATAAAATATACATAATTTACTGTTTGTTTAAAAGTAATTTCACTAAGTTTCAGAAAGTTAGTAAACTAAGGCGCCTTAGATTGTTTTTACACTGTTACTGTTATTGGGATTTCCCGAACAAAAGTGCATACGCGAACGTTCACTGGCATAAACATCAGAGTTTACGTACAATATATGACAGAACAATATCTGTGAAATTATTCTTTGCCCTTAATGTTGCAGGTAAAATTTTAGATTCGACACAAAACAAAAGCAAACCTGGGGTTGAATAAAATTTATACGATTGTGAACTGAAAGTTTTATGGCTAGGGTTGGGAGTGGGCCAAACTTGGGGTTTCTTGTGATAGTCATAATTCATTTCGGCTTTATTAGCCGTAATGCGGAGGGTTAACGACTTGTAATGCCAAGTTTTTTGTTCGGCTCATTATGGATTTCTTAACTAGGAAATGGAGGTGACGTAAAGCCTGTGACTCAAGGCTTTCTTTATAATAGATGACGAAGTGTTTGATATCCAATTTTGTTGAAAGTTCATAGGAATTGGCCACAAGTATAAGCTTCATTGAAATATAAAATCGCTATCTTCATTATTTAATTCAAAAAGAGCTTAATTAAGAGGAATATTATAAAAGGGTTTATTTATTAATTAGTACAACTTTAAGCACCATGGAGTTTTAAAAAATAATTGTTGTAGTTATGTACTCTACCTATGTTAACGAATTCGAGTGAAACCGTAGTTTTTACTATCAGCTTACCCTTAACATAAACCTAGTTAAAACCTTATAATACTGATCGTTAAGTATTCCTCTCCTTTCATCACCAGGTGAATAAAATTTGATAGAAAGAGACTACGAATTCGTTAAATTAAAACAGTTTTTGTTGAAATGATTTAGTTTTTGTTGGAAATTTAAAATAAATCCATGCTGTGTACTAAAACCATCTAAACCAAAAACGCCCCCGAAATAAACTTCCTGATATTTTAATTAATTATTCAAATATCCTAATTTTATTTAACAACGCGAAAGTGCTATATTATTAATCAAACAAATAATATCGCAGCGAGTTAGTTACGTACTTCATAAAAATATTAATTACTTTGATAAGTACCGGGTCTTAACTTTATTAAATCGCCAATTTTATTGTTCAGGGGGAAATTCGTGGTAATTATGAAAATATTTACATGTTGTCATGAAATAGACGAAATAACAACGAGTATAGAGAATTTTATTAAAATAAAATCGATAATTGGGGAACGAAAGTTTTGTCAAATATTATTACATCAATTCGATAATTTTCTAGAGGATTTTTTCCTAATACATATGTATAGATCACATAAATGTATATCGTACTGTATGCATAGTTCCAAATAGGTACAGCCAAGGATAGCTGCTTAGGTGTTCCATACTAACATTTCATTACTAATGAATTTTACGTGCTGTCTAAATGTTGGATGATTAAAATCACTGTATATTATTGTGTAGAAAAATAATGTCCTATAAAATATTATTTTTATTGAAAAACAAACCCCTAATATTAGGAAAATAGTATTCATTTACCCTTTATATCCTGTGAAATGTAATGGTGTATATATTTCATAGCACTCAACATTACCACAAATATTTAAAGTAATGCGTCCTTACACTGTCATAACTATTTAGTACTAAAGCGGTGCCTATAGTAATTTTTTTTTTTGTTAGTAATGTAAACAAATGTAACAAACCTGATGGAATCCTAAATAGCTCTCGATGCTGTGCGTCGCAAAGAACACCTCACCCTCACACGTCAGGATCATAAGGAAGCCGTTGAGTGCCTGAAAATTTAATATTTCTAATAAATAAAACTCTTTTGTTCTTCCAAAGGCATTCGACTAAAAGACGAAATTTCTTTTATTGTTTTTATAAACATTCATGAAAATCTTAAAATGAATTATTTTACAAAATAATTATTATTTAAATTTTTTAATAAAATTTAGAAAAGATTTGAAAGTTCGCTTACATACATTAAAAAGGCGCGCTTTTATAGATCTGAGGTTAAAGTTGTAGACATTTTAAAAGTTTGCCTTTCGCCTTACTTAAATACGAGCTTGAAAAGTTCTTTCGCCGTAAAAACCCGTCTAATATATTGTAGCCGAGTTCAACCATTTTTTATATTCATTATATAATAATTAATTTTAATAATTAATTTAGGAATCTTTAAATACAGCTGTTAATCATTATTTCTGCATAGCTCGATAAGTCATAAAAGTTTCGGTAAGCCTAGTAGCAAATTACATGCAATGCTCTCATTGACATCTCCGCCGGTTCATAAATCGCTCGACAATAAATCTATAGGTGCTGTAGGCTATAAATAAAACCTCCACAATATTTCACGTTGCGCGAGCGCACTGCGTTTAAGATATGCGATACGATTTTAATTTAATCGTTATAAATATAATCGTAAAACCTCTTTTAACCTCTTAGTTACATAGGTTTGCAAAAAATTACCGTGACCAAGTTATGACGTGCTTAATTATCTGTGTTTTAAATATTGCTATAAGTTGGTAACACTAGATATATTTTACACTTTTAATAAGGTTCCATTAACGCGAATTTATTACTTTATTTACTTAACTCGGCGTTTCAAGTAAGGACCTAAAGTGTAGAAGACATTTTGAATAGCGCCAACTAATATTAGAAATTAAATATTTCTCGGCATGCTTTTTTCAAGGTCCACTATATTTTCTGTATAGCTTTACTGGATATAAATTTATAGAAACTTAAAAATAGTTTTCGTCTTAAATTTTTGTACATACTAGACATTTGAAAATTAACATATTAAATAGATTTAATTCGATAAAGTAGTAGGTATACCTGCAGAAACATCTCCCCGTCTGGCATGATGTGGTCATAATGATCCCGTCTGTGAGCGTGAAGATCCTCCTTCTCCTTGTGCATGACAACTGTAACATAATATGTGTGGTTAAATTTTCAGATCGTGTCACCAGCATAGGTTTCCTTAACATTGGAGGGAGGTTTAGCTTAGAAATTCACAAATTAATTAACATTTAATTTAAGATAGATTTTCAACCATATTTATAAAATAGGTTAACTAGAAATTTAATCATGAAATAAGACACAAAAGCAAAGAGATATAAAACCATTAAACCGAAGTTTAACGTAGTAAGAAAATATTTTTAAACAAATCTTAATGATAGTACGCGGTTGTATAGAACATTTTCAATGCGGAGAACGTAACATCTCAAATAGTCAAAATAGTCTTAAAAAATATAACATCTCCGACAACGACACTACAGTCACAAGTAGCAAATACAGACTACGTCAATAGGTATTTCCACCCCTAGTGGGCGTGTTATAAGCGACAAATCCCATCTCTATAATTGAATAAGGGTTGATCTGCCCCTTACAGCATCGCGACACGACACTTGTATGAAAATCACGCCCGCCAATCACTGGGTAGCTATAAAAAGAGTAATTTCATGTAAGGCAATATCTTTCTTGTAAGAAATAATTGTGTCAGAACATAAGATTTTGAAAGACGACATTTCGTTTATCTTAATATACATATATAAATTACGTGTCACGTTGTTTGTCCGCTATGTACTCCTAAACTACTGAACCGATTTCAATCAAATTTGCACACCGTGTGCAGTTTGATCTAACTTAAAAGATAGGATAGCTTACATCTCAATGTATACCCGCAATATTATTTTATTGCAAATTATTTGTTAATTATTTGATAGTCACAATTCTAACAGATAGCGCTGTGTTGAAAGTACCAACGTTTCACATAAGCTACAACTTAATAGGATTACCACCAAAAAAGCATGGTGGTCCCCATGACTGGTGTTCTCCTACCGTTTCCCCTGAATAGGTTATTACTATGAAATATAACAAAAACCTTAGCCACAGCAACGCTTGGCCGGTCTGCTAGTAAATATATATATATAAATCATAGTGTAATCGTTACGTATAGGTACTTCGGAATTATGTCTGATTATATTTTCCCATCTAATAAATTCGCCAAAACGGTATTGAAAAAGCCTATCTGATTTATTAGTATTAAATGTTCCTAGTACTTAATTCCGTGACTACCCACCATTAGTCATAAAATATACAAATTAAATAAAATTTGTCCTGTCAATATTAATCTAAGTGAAAATCAAACTGTCTGTTTGAAATGGCGATCGGTGTAATTTAAGTTTTCGCTTTCGGGTTCACAAATAAAGGATAGTGTTGGCCGTTCCGATGGCCAATTACTGAATACGTGGGACACACCATGTGGCGCTAGGGATGTGTGATTGTATCGATGATATACAAAAATAGATCGTGTTAATTTGTCTATTACGCCTAGCAGAATTTTGTAAACGTAACGCTTGCATTTGGACCAAAAGGTTAAAATATACAGGTTATATAACACGCAAATAATACGATAACATTTTAGTTAGGACAGGTTTGAAATAAGAATAAAGGGCCGCTTAAAATATTATATTTAATTATATTTACTAAAATTATAAGTAGTAAAAGTAGTATTTAATGAACAATAGCATTATTTTACTAGATAATATACTAAAAATAGTGTCTAAAATAACTAGCTTTTATCAACTTAAATCTCTCGTTTTCTAGATTTATTGTTTCCGATGCGATCAAGATAGTCGATATATCGATAACGTAGTCCACGTCACTATTTCTCTTATCGAGCATTAAAATCGTCATTATAGGACTATCGAACTTTTTTCAATTGAATATTAAATCTACTATCTTTAAAGGGAGGTTGTATTTGGTGCCATCAATTATTTATTATATAATAAAATAATATTCAGGCCTGTGGTATTATACGGGTTGTAATTTGTTGTATTGCAAAAAGTATATTGTTATATTCTTGCTCTAAAATATAAAAAAATATATGGGAAGAGCATTTAGTTTGACCTAGGTTTAAGAGGGGACTAATATAGGTTTAATTATTTAAGATAAAATTCGCTCGCATTTGCAAAGTTCATTAACGGACAATGACTGTTACACCTGGAGTCGAAGATACTCTATGAGCGTTAACCACTAAGCCACGGAGGTGATATTTTATGTTATGAGAGTAGATAAATAAATGTTTACATATAGGCTATAGCGTGCACAGTGTCACAACAATAAATATTTATATAGCTAATTACACGCAAGTACATGATGCTTAATGAAGGTGTAATGTTACAATGTCGCACGGAAATAGATGGGGTTTTAACATGTTTTTATTAGAAATTAGGAAGAATGTTTACTATATTAACATAGATATCAGTCATTTAACTTCTCTTCTTTTATTTCCTGGATTCGGAAACATTGCTTCGGCAACTGTCCCGAAAGTATTCGACATTATGATATAATAATAGATAATGATTGACATTAATTTATTATGATGGATAATCACATAAAGACAGAAAAATGACAATGACAGACTAATAGGAGAGCACAGAACAACATTATGTTGTTTAATTGTTTTATATATTAGATATATATCATCTTAATTTCTATATTTAAAACACCATCGTAAACGCTCTCAAGATCAAAAACAAATTCATCAAAACTATTCCGAGATGTTCTATTCAATATTGAATCGTCTAAACATTTTGACCACAGATCTTGGCAACACCTTTGGAGTCTTATCACGTGTCGTTTTGGTATCTGTTTCTCTACGTGTAATTGGTGTAGCATCCCAATTTGAAATGTCAATGTCAGACGTCACTATGCTATTTAATGCGTTTCTGACATTTGTCAGTGATGTTGTGACAATAATTTCATTTAGTGTAGAATTGACTGTGAGGCGTGAGCAGATTTCTCGCATCATCGTCAGTTCCTTTGGCCTAATTGGGCATTTATATAAGACGGTAAATAGAAAAATTATAGATTTAAGGGCAATGTCGTTATATGGGCTTGTTTATACTACGTAAAGTACTTGAGATTTAATCTTAATCTACTGTAAATATAAAAATCCATCAGCATTAACAATAATGTAACGTTTTTATATTGTTGGTGTAATTTATGCTTTTAGGTCATTACATGAGTGCTTGGTTTTTCTATTGTGTAATAACAACGAAATGCAATTTGTTAAAAGTGCAAACTTTTCTTTGTAATTTTTCAAGGAACCTTTATTTTTCTTTACCTTGATTTAAAGCTATCATTAAAGTAATTGTTAAGGCATACGTCTAATTACTATTTAGACCGTCCACCCTGGTTACAATCGCGTTTGATAATAATATTTTTATTTATTCAATCATGAAAAACGTACACCGTATCCTTACGGACTAAGCCAATACGAAAGTCAATAAGTTTTATATCGTCCAAAATGTTTATATTGAGGTGTTATTCAATAGATTTCAATTTTAACTTTAAAATGATTTGTCCTTTTTTATTACCACAATTTTTTATAAGATTCGTGCTTTTTTGACGGCGTTTTCTTTGGCTACGATTCTTAATTAGTTTAGATTGAAACCCACCGTAAAAGGTAGTGAATGAGTCTCATATAACTTGTAATGAATATAAATATAATTTTTGGAGTTACTAAATGACAAACATATTTTCTAAAAAATGCTTAGGATATATATAAAAACTATTTGAAAACAATGCGCTAACCTATCCTTATACGTACGGTATTTATTCATGCAATACATTATAATAATGCATTTATTAATAATTCTTAAACGCATCTACGTATTTTAATTTTTTGCAGCACATCTATTAATATTCATAATTTTTTTACAATGAATCAATGATAATATAAAGGTTTTTCTACCAAAAATTCCGTAAAAATTATTCGACCATACTATTGTCTCAAATATTGTAAAGCTTAGAGATGCTAGATGCTAACGCGGTAACAGTTGTTAATAAAGACACGCTACGAAAAAGGTCTTTAATTAATTTTGGCTCACGTCGAGAAATACTCGTATAAGGCATAATTCGAAAAGAAGAATTTTAGGAAATCGCGTTTAAAGATTTTCATTTGTTCCGGCATGTTTTTTGAATAAAATGACTTTTATTAAAGTCATGATTATGAAAATTTACAGATTTGCATTTTGATAATGTCACTATAGGAAGTTACGAGGAAATTAAGAACAGTTTTATTAAGTTCTATATATATATACCTAGTACAAAATATTACAAAAATATTTAATATACAGAATCAGTCAGGAATAATTGCTTGTAACGCCTGCAGTTTTTGGAAATAAAATCTATAAGACATAAGTATATTAATTCGATAAATTTTAATATATCGAATCAAATACGAATTAAAATCTCACTTTATCCAAAAATCGAGTTAGGTCCTTTTAGCCAAAAACAACTTAAATAGTAAAAGAATGATTCGTTTTCTTAATTTATTGAGTTATTTAAATATTGCGAAATAATTTTTCAGTGTGAAAAACTTTCTTATAAAGCCAGTTATAATATAAAACCCGTTACACTAAGTTCTTTTAATACCCTATTATTTTCCTCTGCTCACACTCGTGCAATCTTAACTGCTTAACTGCTATTATTTTATAGTTCTACGTCACGCACTTCTAGTTAACTTTACTTCGTACCTAATAATTAATTAGGCATTCGACATAATTAAAACCAATACATTTTTCAGTTGAAAAATGTAATGACGTTTACCGCCAAAAAGATAACAAATTGTATGACGTCATGAGTTCCGACTCATTTTTTTGGAACTTTCTTTGTTTTTATAATGTTTCCGGTTTCGCAATCGAAAACAAGTAATAATAAAACTAAATTATTATTCAATTCAAAATACAGACACTAAACAGTTTAGGGCTTTCACTAAACTGTGATTTCACACTAAAATACTGTCACTTCTCCATAAAATCTTCACAAAACTGTCTCTTCTACCATAGTTCCTCTACCGTAATATGAATCATTTGGCCATAGATTATAACACGAACAAACAAAATAGATTA